ATTCCTCGTCATAATCCCCCCCCCCTTAATTTTGAGATGCTGCCCTGAAATAGCTCCACGTGCAGGCAAAGCAACTAACAGCTTACGAAAGTTGGCAAGTTATTCTCAGGAATCAGTAAATTCGATTGGAGTAACTCAAAGGAATGTAATTCTTCTTGAGAAGCTGAGAGTCGCTCAGCTGGGCGATGGTGAACACGGTGAACCCGATGGTTCACCGTGTTTACAAGTGAAATGCTGCAGGACTTCCCGAGTTGTGAGACAGTGAGTTCGCCGGGCCTCGGATTCAAGAGTGACTGTGCTGGCCAGAAGGAATTTACGTGGCTGGACCCATCTTTACAAGAGCCCTCCACCCCCACCAACTGGATCCTATCCCGTGGCAGCTGATTTGAGTCATCAACTTCTTTAAGATTCATTTTTAGGCAGCTTTACATACTTTGAAAAAATGAAGTAGGCTACTACAATCGCCTTGCTGTCTGTGTCTTGATGGACACGTCATTTTCTATGCGGTCCGTGTCGTATCAAGGAAATCAGACGTTTAGTTCTTGCCAGAACTTCTTATGATTTTGCTGTTTATACCTAGGTCTCCCAGTGTATTTTCCTTTCAGTTTTTCGACAAAATGTTTCTATATAAACTTGGGATAGAAGGAAAAATGCTCTCAAAACTCACTTTGGCAGTTCTGTCTTCTTGCCGGGGTATAAAAGCGGGGTTGCTGGACAGTGGTTTGTGTGTGTTTGGAGGGGGGGTCAACCCCGTGTGGAGGCGGGTTCGAAAACCTCCAGCGTAGCCCTGTGAATCGTTGGAAAAGACGAAAAGGGAACCCAGTGCCTGGGGCTATAACTGGGCCACCCGTTTACTGGGGGATATAAATACGGGATCTTGGCCCTCCTGGTCGGGGAGTCTCGGATCTGAGACAGCGAAATATGGGGGACTCGGACCCGAGAATGACTGCGCTTGCGAGGACCAGCAGCAATTGTAAACGATGGGCCCAGCCTCTCCTCAGAGAGGATGTTACATGAGGACTATAACAGCAACTGTTCAGTTGAAAACAATTACTGGTCGTGGGTCTCAAGGGTCCTGGCGCAAAGACGAACTGATTGGCGGTAAAGTAAGTGGCAGTGACCGTGTGTTTTGGACTGAGGTCTGGTAGCACGGAGGGACCCAGAGAGGAACAGTTCCGAATGGGGAAGGTCTGAGAGAATTCAAGAAGTTACCTGATGGCGGACGTGACTGCACCATCTGGCCTCGCTCCAGAAGAGGCACGTCACGAGATCGAGCCCACGCGCGTCTAAATTAGATGAAACAGTACCACGTCTCGAGGGACAAAGGTTCGACCTTCCTCGCGGGGCCGATATATCTCCCTAACACGTTGCAATACACCACGACATAAAACGAGTTGTGGTGTGCAGTCACGGTGGAGTATTCGACCTCGCCCCCACACCGGATGATCTGAACTTGTTTCTGTTCTCTTCTTAAGGCGCGTCCACATTACTCGTGCTCGTGCTCGTGTGATTCGCTGTGCTCGCGAGTAATGTGGACGATATGACAAGTCACGAGACAAGCAAATTTAAAATTTTTAATTTAAAAACTATAGCCAATAAATTAAAATACGACTACAGCCTATACACACTACGAGTAAATATACGGATCCTCACGCGCCGAAGCCTGGCGAGCAACTGAAGTAGTGTGGACGAAGATTTACGAGCACAAGCAAAAGCCAGACGAGTCTCCCGACGAGCACAAGCCTGGTGAGCACGAGCACGAGCATGAGTAATGTGGACGAGCCTTTATGCACCATATCGGAATCCAGGGAAATGTTTGTTGATCGCTCGTATCCACGGAAACGTGTCCCGTAACGAGTTGGTTTCCAAGAATCCATCTTTACGTAGACTTGTTTGTAACTCGTTCCCTAGCAATGGCTCTACATGTCACAGTATTATTTAGAATAATCTGTGCCTTAAAATTGTGAATCCTAACAATGGTGCATCTGATCTAATTTAAAGGATTAACGTCATAAAGTATCTTACTTAATAGTAATCCATTTTGTATTGTATAGGTGAGTTCATATTTCGAACAGGAGCCTTCTATGATAGTCTATTGACGTTGCTTTGTAGCTTCATGTAAGGGGAGAGACTCCATTGCACGGAAATGGATCAAAATAATTTACCAACCAATTTTTAGTAGCGCACTCTCGCGTAAGAAACTTAATTCATATCAGATAAATTTGGGTATTGAAACATGCCGACAGATAAACTAACATTACTTGTCTAATATGTGGCCACTTTATGAAACTTTTTCAGATCGCATGAAAAGTGCGTGGTGCTGTGTGCATCGACCGGCGTTCGATGCCTGGCAGGGGTAGGAATTTCTGTCTTTTTCAGGCAACTCAGCCTCTTACTCAGTGGAGCTCTTAGAGATAAATCCATAGCGATTGTGATCCAGTGACAAGGCCTGGAATGTTAAGAGCTATATCCCCATTTCGCAATACTCCTTTCTGTTGCTGTGGTTAGTCTCAGTAATACCTGTGGTTTCATATCTTGTCACCAGAGGGCAGGATAAAATCGTAACATAAGGATAGGCAACATATTCTTTGAAAATGTGGCAGAATTCGAATATCTGTGAATGTCACAATCAAATTGAAATCTAATTCGTGAAGAAATGAAGATCAGATTAATTCCCGAGGAACGTTTAGAAGCCCTTTGCCTAGTCGTCTGCCGTCTGAAAACCAGATACAATAAAACAAATAAAAATTTCATTTTGTTTATAATTTTATATGAGTTTGAAGCTTGATCTCGCTCATGACGAGAAGAACCCAGACTGAGGGTTTTTGAGAACAGGGTGCTGAGGAGGAAATTTGGACCCAAGAGGGATGACGTATCAGGAGGCTGGAGAAAAATCCATAATGAGGAGCATCGTAATTTGTAGGACAAACTCCTCTCCGAGTATTAGTAGAATGATCAAAGCAAGAATGATGATATGTACAGGACATGTAGCACGGATGGCAAGAGACATGCATACAGGATTTTGGTAGGAAAGCCTAAAGGAAGGAGACCGTTAGGAAGACCTAGACACAGATAAGAGGAGAATACTGAAGCGGATCTTAAAGAAGTAGGCTAAGAGGGAGTGTACTGGATTTATCTGGCACAGGATGAGGACCAGTGGGAAGGGGGGGGCTGTTATGAACACTGTAACATATCTTTTGAATCTATAAAATGCTAGAAGACTCTTTGAGTATTTGAACATCTGTTAGCTTCTGAAGACGGTTTCAGCTTGATGGAGTTAGTGAGGTCTTTATTTTTTCTGAAACGTGTTGCTCCCTGTAAACCTGTATTTCTTCGGTTGTGTTCACCGTAAATACAATGCTTGCTGTCGCTCTGAACCTTGTAAACTCTGCTCCGTTTGTATGGAGTAAAGTGGGATTAATAATCGTTGTTTATCGTTGCTTGAAGGGCACGCTGCAGTGCCGGCCCGAGGTGTGGGATCCTCGAGTGCTTTCCCCTCCGAACATCAATCTCCAAGCAGCCGCTATTCCTCAGACTACCGAAACTTTTACGACCGTGGGGACAGCATTAAGTTCGTATAAAATGACACCTGTTGGCTAGCTGCTACTATAAAGATTTCTCTCTCGCCTTTAAATAACATTAAACTCACATCTTTATAATTACAGACCATTTTTATAGTCCTTGAGTCATCATTTTATTTCCGCAGGAAGAGAATATATGTGACAATAATGCATTTATGCTCACGAAAACACCGTTTAATATCTTTTTATGTCAAAGTAGCTTTTTCTGAAGGAAATTATTGCAGTTTTAATGAAATTGCTTTCCAGAGATTTCGGCTTTTCTTATTTTTTTTACGCTGCCTTTTATTCTAATCTGTTTAGATACTTTATTATTAAAACACAGCATCGCTCATCTTTCCGTCCATCCACGTCTATATTCCACCAACTTTGTATTTAACCCTTCAGAGAATCATGTGTTCTCGGTGGTGGTGAATCCAGAACTCGAAGTTGGCGGAAATGCAACAGCACCCACGATCTGGCTGTATTAACAGTAGTACGTAGTATCACCGCTTTCTGTTCTCACGGCGGCGCATGCGCGAAAGCACTTCCAGTCATTTAGTCGAGTGGTGAATCTACCCGATTCCGTGGCATATAAGAAGCTAGTATACGTTGTGGCTTATGAGCTACTCACTGCATATGGGTGATTCCAAGGGAAACAGAGCTTTTATTGAATGGAGTCGAGAGAAATTTAGTTACACTTCTTCTCTTCCGCTGCAGACCGGTTCATTTGCAAATCGTTCTCGGTCGGTTTCACTTTGGGAGGGAGGATTAGGACGCTCTCAGTAGATGGGCTGCATATCGTCGAATGGTGCGTTGACAGGCGCGCGATGGTTTGGAAGCCATGGCCTAGTCGAGGCCCCATCCCTGAGTTTGGCTCTAGGGATGGGGGAACCACTAAGAACTTCAGTTAGAATAGCTGGTGTCACGGCCTAGGTTCGAGTCCAGCACTTCCCAAATACGAATCTACAGCTTTACCTCTACGCTAACCGTTAGGCTGGAATATGTTAGAAAAATAAATCAGTACCTTGGAGAAGGGACTTGTGTCTCTTTGAGACGCACGTGTGTACCGAACACAGTACTGTGTGCTTCAGCTGAACGATTGGCTCTTTCTTATGTACTGAACAGGGCACTGTGTGCTTCAGCCGAACGATTGGCGCTGTTGTGTGTACTGAACACGGTATTGTGTGCTTCAGCTGGACGATTGACTCTTTTTGTGTGTACTGAACAGGGTACTGTTGCTTCAGCTAGTCGATTGGAGCTGTTTGTGTGTACTGAACCCGGTACTGCCTGTTTCAGCTGAACGGTTGGCGATTTTAAGCATACTGAACAGGGTACTTTTGCTTCAGCTGGTCGATTGGCTCTTTTTGTGTGTACCTGCTGTTGCTTCAGGTGACTGATGAGAGTTTTATGTATGTACTGAACATGGTACTGTTGCTTCAGGTGGACGATGAGCTGGTCCGTGCCGTGAAGCTGACGTCCCGGGAGAGGCGATTCATCAAGTTCGCGTCCGTGGAGTATGATGGCCAGCTGTACATGACGCCCCAGGACTTCCTAGAGTCCGTCGTGGAGCAAGAACCCCGACGTAAGTTGCGCTCCATTTTGATTTTGACAAACGCCATGTTGGTACATTGGTGAGCTGAATTAAATTCGTCTGCAATTAGTGGTCACCACTGTTGCTTATCATGCATGTAGCTCACAAGGGAACTTGGCTGGATCCGTAACATGGGACCGGTTTCTCGCTTAGAATATCGTAATGCGATGAAATGCATTTGTGTCTGTCCTTGAATTGAATTACTTTCAGACTTAACAATGCTTACTGGCTCCTTCACGACAACGCGCCCGCCCAAACGTCCCTGAAAACAACATGGTTATCGTTCTCCATGCTCCCTACTCGCCGGACTTATCCCCTGTGATTTCGTTTTGTGTCCCAAACTGAAAATGAAACTGAGGGGACGACGTTTGGAACAGTGTCTGGCATCCAAAGGGAATCACAAGCGGTACTCAAGAGCATCAAGGAAAATGATTTATACGGTGCTTCTGTGTTTCCAATTGACCTAATCCTTCCAGCCGCACTAGGCCCTGGGGTTTACTCAGCCTCTAACAGAAATGAGTACCAGGAATTAATTAAATAATGTTCCTGGGGAGTAAAATGCGGCCGGCGCGTAAGGCTGAGAACCTTACCGCCATCTTTGAGCCGATTGTCTAGGTAGTGTGAGACCCGCAACGTCTCACAACCCTATGGGCCTTCACGGCATGGTACAGGGATAGCTCTGCTTTTTACTTTACGGTGCTTCTGTGAAGACAACACCACACGCTGCTAGAGGGAACAGCGCACAAACAAGGGGCATATTACAGATTGCAGACGTAACAGATCAATGGGCTAACGGACATAAAAACAAGCTGCTGCAACAAAACATGGAGGGAAACATATACGAATAGTTATAAACAAGTGGACGGCACCCCTTGTGAGGTGGAATAGAATTTCTCCAAAGTGATGAAAATTTTAATGGATTTTATTTGAATTCATTTTTTAAGTACACCACAGCGTGTGCGTGATTTTACCGCATATTAATGTAGTGTAGCAGTTTAAGACACCCGAGGATGGCCATATAGGGCCAAAACTTGTTGTGTTAAAGTATAAGTGGAAGAGAAAGGGAGGCCGCGCCATAGCTCAAGCGCTTAGTCGCTGGCTTCCCACCGCGGCGGCCCGGGTTCGATCCCGGGTCTGGTCAAGCGGGTTTTGTGGTGGACAAAGTGGCGCTGGTGCAGGTTTTCTCCGAGTACTCCGGTTTCCCCTGCCAATCTTCATTCCACCAATTGCTCCACAATCACCCTCACCTATCATCTGGGGCTGGCACAATAGGCCAGAAGTGGCCGCATTACAAGCGACTTAGTCCCACCCCACTAGCAATAAAAATAAAGAAGAGAAGGTGTTATAGTTACAGTAATCTAGAAAGTGTTATAATTATTTGTAGATAGTACTAGTGAATATCCAATAAAGTGATTCGCCAATCCTACCCGCATCTAAAGTCATTAATACAAATGGCATTATGTTAAAAAAATATATAAGCCTTGGTTATTGCAGTTTATATATATATGTAATATAAATTTTTTCCTTTAATACTGTATATCCCCTGAAGATGGTCTTGTGTGATCGAAACATGTCGGGACTTTAACATGTAATGTATATAGCGAAATAAACTGGATATACATGTAAGGGTCCCATCTTCTGGGATATAACGCCACGTAATCCGATGAAAGCCGGTCACGGTAGCCGAGCGGTCTAAGGCATGTACTGTCTTCGGTCGCTTGGAAACCGGGATCGTGGGTTCGAATCTCACACAGGGCATGGATGTTTAGTTTGTGTGTATGCGTTTTTCTGTGTTGTACAGGTAGCGGCCTTGCGGCGAGCTGATCACCCGCTCAGGGAGTCCTACCGAATGTGTATTATCTAGAAAAAACCGAAGTGAACGGAAGTTCATGGAGGTAGGCCTAGGCCCACTGGGGCTGTAGCGCCAAAAAAACCGTTGAAAATTAGTCGACGTTTCGGAGGAAGATAACTCCACCTCTAGGGTCGAAGGATAAGCCAAGGAAGAAACCATCTTGAAACAGATAGCAATATCGTACATAGATGGTAATTTACATCTTGTTTTATAATATTCTTCTGTTATTGTGGCCCTTAATTTTAATTTCATTTGCAAGATGTGAGTTAAACAGCACAAAATGATGATAGCTTCTTGAGCATGAATTGTTCTGAGTGGAGTTGCACAGTGCTGTACATGATCTTTGCCTGGAGCGTACAGCGCTATAACGTTTTGATCGGTTTCTGTGAGAGTGTAGCATGTAACATTATAACGTGTTTATTGATGGGCGTGGCGAGAGTTCTGTCTGCCCTGCTTACTTTCAGCTCGCCTTAAGCGCCGTCAGCTGTCCGACAGAGACCTGGATATGATCCGCGACATCACCCCCAGCCTCAAGCAGGGCTCGACGCAGATGTTCCGTAGTATGCGAGACAAAGGTAAGGGACTGGGGTCTTACCCAGCGATGCTCGACATATCGACCGATCGATAGGTCTCGATTGTTGACAATGTAGCGATATGTGATAAATATTAATAAATTATTGATTATAGATTTACGCAGAAAACGCAAGGAATTGGAAAAAGACTTTTTTGGTGAAAGATGCAAATGTTTATCATCAAACTTACGCGATAAAAATTGTTGAAGTTTACTAATTTATTCACGGAGTCTAAATTGTAAGCACTACTGAAAGTGTATATATAAATTTATTTTTATAACTAATCATTAAAGAAACTAACCAATTCTATGGGGCCGAGTCGTTCTTGAGAAACTAACAGTCACTCAGCCACTCAATAAATTCCCAATGTTTTGTGGAACTTGGAGGTTCATTACCGTGTTTACAAGAGCCCGTCACTGGTCTGTATCTAGAGCCAGATGATTCCAGTCCATACCCCCGTCCTACTTCACAAAGGCCCATTTTAATATTATCATACCCTCTACGGTAATGTGACGTATAGACCCATTGCTAGGCAACGACTCGATAAGCACATTCCCGCGGGAGCCAACGCGCGCAACAGTAGGACGTCTATTGCTAGGCAACGTATCAGTAAACACGCCTAAAAGAATACGGGACAATAGAAGACGGTGTTCTGGAGAAGACAGTCTGAAATGATTGAGAAGAAATGGCACGAAAAGAGTTAGGCTGTGCAAAGAAGACTTAATAATGTGCTGCAGTTACAGTGAGACTTTATGAATCCGTTACCAGGATACGACTAGTGAAGACTGAGAATCCTAGTGCTTGTGTGACGGTGAACTGTAAAGTGTGTAGAACAGCGATAGCGCTGTAATTGCCTCTAGTTCCGAGTTGTGTGTGTGTATAAGGTGTCAATAAATCCAGTCATCCAATCCAACACCCGTCTTAGAAGTCACTCACAAACTCATGATGTCAGACCGTGTACGTCCGGATGCTCAACAAACGTACACACCCGTGGAAATGAGTTAGCGAAAATAGAGGACTCGACAGCGTCTGCCAAGGCAACCGAAACTCAGCAGCCGCCATAAAACAAGAAGAATGTAGATTTATTGTGCAAATAAAGTAGGGTGACATGGCAAGTTGCGCTAACAAGTAGCGCAGTGGCACGGAGGGTATCAGACAGTGCGACGTGCTTTTGTTGCCGCCCAAACAAGTACTCAGCGGCCCAGCGTATCTACTCGTACTTCCCTCCTCTTCCTTTTTCTGCTACTACGATTTGGGTTGGCCGCTGTGTGTCGATTCAGAAGTGCTGAAGGGATTTCTCCATACCAGAGTCTCCAACGGGTTCACATCGGCTGCCATAACGCCCTCGGAAAGTTTATAGGGCAGAAAAAGGCAAAGTTGTCCCTGTGCTTAACTAATTAAACACTACGTCATGAAGGTGTATGGGGCAGTGGATGTATAGATCCATATTTTCTTGACCTCGGCACTGTTGGAGGTGAATGGTCAGATTCACTCCCTGGATGCTTTAATCCCAGGAGTATCAATTGGATAGGAGGCTGGGTGGGCCCCAGAGCCGATTTGGACCTCGTGGCAAGTAGAAAAATCTTATCCCTACCGGAACTCGAACTCCGACCCCTCGGTCGTCCAGCCCGTAGTCAGTCGCTATACCGACTACGCTATCCCGGCTCCAAGCTTTTGGGGTGACAGAGAATTTCAAGATATTCGTAACTAGCTCTTAATCGAAGATTTCCGTCTTCTGGGATATAACGTTGTGTAGCCCGGTAAAAGTCAACCGACGTTTCGGAAGAACATGTATCCTCAGCCTTACTAGGGCTGAAGAGTGAGCCAATCAAGGAGCGTTCAAGCTGGTTTCTTGCTTGATTTACTCTTCAGCTGTGAAGATGGAGGTGACATGTTCCTCAGAAACGTCGGTTGACTTTCGACGGATCACACAGCGATATATCCCAGAAGACAGAATTCATAAACACCGGTGTGGAAACCGCAATCCTACAATTTCTTAGTCGATGACATGATCACCAGCCACGTGGTGATTTCGGCTGTACGACCTGAGTATCTGGGAATTGCCGATTGCTCACGAACGCTCAAATTGTGGTGGGTCGCCACGTGACTTGAGGGTCCGGGTCTCGATGGAAAGAGCTGTAATTCCGTTAGATTATTTTGTTGCGAGAGAATGTGTGTCAGGCCTTTATGAGAATACGCAAAGTGAAGGTGCAAAGCTATTCGTATTCTGATTGTTTCGTGTCGCAACATTTCTATCATACTGTCCTTCTGGCCCCTCGGCCGTCCAGCCCGTAGCGGCTGAGGAGTCGGAGTTCGAGTCCCAGTAGAGGCAAGATTTTTCTTCTCACTACGTTGTCCAGACCGCTTCTGGTGATCACATAGCGTCCTGTGCAATGTGTACCAGAGGGCGATTTTTCCCGGGGGTAAAGCGACCGGGGCGTGAAGCTGACCACTCACCTCCAGCTAGTGCTGGATCTATACGTCCGCTCCATCACACTTCATCATGGCTTATTGCTTAAGTAGTTAAGCACAGAGACAAGTTTACCTTTAGTCTCCTTCCCTGTCAGTTTGACAGTGCAGACCTGTACATAGCTAAAACTTTGAAGGAGTAACAGTCAAATTATAAAGTACACTCTTCTAATTTGGAATCAGGGTTTGGATCTCGTCTAAAAAGTCTACCACAGCACATGAACATGTTTAGCTACCGTACATATTGACAAGAGCAGGGACTAAATTTCCTAATATTTCTGGGTTTTCCGCTGTGTAGAATTCGCGGTACGAACAAAGTTACATTTTTAGCCTAATTTCCTCACTTTGAAAAAATAAAACGAGGCTTATGAGATCACGATGCATATCTGTGAATACCCCCTACCAAGTTTTGAATGCCTGAGCCAGTCTCTATGAGACCTGGTATGTATATCACGGCACCTGAGCCTGTCTGAACGGCGTACTTCATAAATCCCTCTCATCAGTCTGTGCGTCTGTATTTGTATCCCTCCTATCGTTGCTAGGCAACGGCTCGGTAAAACGTTACCGCGGCAACGAATACACAGGGAACAATTGAATTGTTTGACGCGTCGTTTTATATGCTGTCCTTGTCCTATCAAAGGAAAGTAGGCAATTGCCCAGAACTCCTTGTTTACTGCTAGTACCAGAAGGACTAGCGGGCGAATACTGGGAACTTTCTTACAAATGGTGCCCTTTCCTGCCACCCCGTAAAATGTTGTCACTTATCCCATTACCTTTTCTTGTCACTCTCTCACTCTCTCAACATGTGTGTACAGCAGATGAGTGGCAGTCGAAGCCCTGACACACTTCCAGTTGCTACGTGCAGGTGTGGCAGGGCGTGAGTGCTCCACACTACACGGGACTGCCGCTTGGACGGCGCGCCATGTTCCTCCTGAACTGCGAGCGTCATTTCCGTTTGGCTACGGAAGCGGCACCTGCTGAGTATAAGCTATACAAACGGGACCAATGAAACACGAAACGTAGCAAAAATCGCATTTGGAAAATCCAGTTTAAATTTCACATACGGAATCGAAAATTTGGAAACCTTAATTCTAATGCGAGTAACATGTTCTAGGATTTTGCGCCGTGTAACCAAGTATAAGTTTACCGACGACGTTTCGGATAAACGTACTGCCACGTTCTTCAGGGCCGAAAATAAACCAAGGAAGCAATCAGCAGGATGGAAACGTGACGATTTTTCGCTCTGCTTGCTTGACTTATTCTTCGAACCTAAAGATTGAGGCATTACGTTCCTTCGAAACGTCGGTGAATGTATAGTGGACTTCGCGGCATCATATACCTTCATAGCCGTCGTTGCGAGATCGTCGTCTCGGACAGGTTAATTTTGTTGTTTGTGGGCTGTACACATTTGGGTTTGACATGTATTATGGTTGCTGAACCTGTTCCAAGTACTTGGTTTGAAAGGCTTCTTGTACAGGAAGCGTTTGAAATGTTACTGCTACTCGGGAAGGTTGCGAAACGCCGTGTATCCATCGCATTTCTTTCGAAACTCAAGTGGGATGATAGGGACTTCAATTTTAGAAACCACGAGGGCTCATGCAGACCGACTTACAGGAACGGATACAACGTTCAGTCGATCACGAGGAGCATGAGAGCATATTCACGTGAGGTGACGTGTGTCTGGCACAAGCCAAGATGCCAGGACTGCTCTCAGCCCAGTCGGTATAGCAACTGCCTACTTGCTGGACGTCTGAAGGGGTCGGAGTTCGAGTCCTGGCAGGGCAAGATTTTCTTTTCTCCACAGCGTCCAGACCGACTCTGAGGCCCACCCAGCCTCCTGTCTTATGTAACTTCTTCCTTTGCTTTCCATCTCAACAACTATCAAAATCTCATTCACATCTCACGGTGTGATCAGTTCCACTCAGTCCGAGCGCAGTGGTTCTAGAAGTGTAGTCGACAACCCCCCAGGGGTCCGCGAGATTATGTTTGAGCTCCAGTTGTAAGTTAGAAGGAAACAAATGTTTTCTGAATGTTTTAAATATTTTACAAGAACCTGTCTGTCTAGAAGCATGTATAACAAATATTCTGGACCCGAAATCAGGTGCGGTTGTGTGTACTAGTTACGTAGCTGTGACTGAGTCATTTTTGTTATTAAACGGGCGAGGTAATGAAATTATTATAACATGTATCAAACATTCTTGATACGGTATAGACATTAACACGAAATAAGAAAACGGAAGGCTAATTGGATTGGTCATATCTTACGCGGCAACTGCCTTCTGAAAGAAGTTATTGAAGGAAAGATAGAGGGGCGGATAGAAGTGACCAGAAGACGAGGAAGAAGACGTAAGAAGATGCTGGATGACCTTGGGGACAGAAGAGGATATTTTCATTTGAAGGAGAAAGCTCTAGATCGCATCAAGTGGAGGAACTGTTTTGGAAGAGACTGTGGACCTGTCGTCTTGACAGATTACAGATGAATGAATGAATAAACATTAAAACATTTTAAATCAATTATTTTATTTTAATCTGTTTTAAGTTTATGTGCCGATAACTTTAATGTGCAAGGATGAGCCTTGACTTGGTAGAAAGTTCATGGGCTAGACGAGTTTGAAGACCACTGACCTGGTGAATTGCAAAGCTAGAATCGAGCTGTAGTTCCGCGATAAGTAAGTGATATTTGCAGCCAAATACGTGAGATTCTGTTGTGCTCTCTGTTCCAGGTATCATATCCTACACAGAGTACCTGTTTCTGCTCTCTGTGCTTACAAGTAAGTATACTTTACTAATATCATAGCAAAGCCAGAATACTGCCGCTGTTCACGTGTGATCCCATCCCTTATGTAACGTCTCATTTATTAAAGTAAAGTCGTTCTACTCTGCGAACCAGGGGCTCGTCATACCTTACACAGGCAACCTTACGGAAGAAAAGTTCTGTACTCATATAAGTATCTTCGAATTTCCCACTGGCACGCGGTAGCGCAGTTGATTGAGGCACTGTGCTACAAGTCTGAAGGTCGCGGATTCGATTCCCGATGACGTCATAGGATTTTTCAATTGACCTAATCCTTCCAGCCGCACTATGGTCCTGGGGGTCGACTCAGCGTCTAACAGAAATGAGTACCAGGAATCTTCTTGGGGGCTAAGAGTCGGCCGGCGCTTAAGGCTGACAACCTCACCGCCATCTGTGAGCCGATTGTATAGAAAATGTGGGAGCCTCGACGTCTCACAACCCAATGGGCGGGCGTCCACGGCATGTTACAAAGACAGCTTTACCTTTTTTACCATATAAGTACAGGAAATATGTTTAAAAATATAATCTAATGACTTTCTAATGATGTGGCAACGATCCGCATCACCAACTGATGGCGACACACGCTCGTTCCAATAATAGATTAATGCGATATTTTATTATATATATATTTCCATAATAATTTAAATATAATTAACTCCTTGATCGTCCATGTGGCAGCTTTCCAAGAGGTTTCTCTCAACCCAGTATAATATATATTCATGTTTGTCCATAAGAGCTACGTATCTATATTAGATACAGGATCGAATAAGTGAGAAGACAAATGTGATTGCGTGTAATTATACAGCTGTGTTCGTACACCTGAGGATGACCTCTTGAGGTCGAAACATGTAGTGTAATAATAATAAAAATATGTTGTGTGGTCGGTAAAATTGACTCTGAAATTGATTAAATACACAACAGGATGCAAGAAACAATTAAAGCTACGTATCTGCTCCGTAATAACAATTATATTATAACCGTAAGGGGTTGTACGAATCATAGTGTTCCTCACTGTGTAATGTTATCAGTACTGTGCCCTTATATCTGTATATAGTCCGGGGCCTTTTACCTCGGAATAAATGCAATTTTACGAGTATATTATTGACTCAGAATGTGATACCGCAGCCATACAAAGGAATTAGTAAAGTGATTGTTCTCTGTGTATCTTCTTCTTTAGTGTTAGGGAAATAGGCCACATGACTGCAAATATTAATATTTCCCTTATTACGAACAAGTTGTATTGCTTTGAGATTGACCTCTTCTGCCCTGTGTTTGTTGTATGAATTTTTCACTGAAAATAAACTTAACGCCATAAGCCAACTGTGAGGAGCCGTGGTCGCGTAGAGGTATAGCAACTGGCAAAGGGCTGTGTGGTCGAAGGGTCGGAGTTCGAGTCCCAGTAGGGGTACAAATTTTCTCCCTTTCACATGGTCCAGACCGGCTCTGGGGCCCACCCAGCCTCCTATCCAATGGGCACCGGAGGCTCTTTCTTCGGGGGTAAAGCGGCTTGGACGTGGAGCTGACCATGCGTCTCCATGACATAGTGCTTAATTAGTTAAGCACAGGGATAACTTTTCCTGCACCATATTATTATTTATTATTCCTAGTGGGGTGAGACTGAGTCCACTTCGTGCTGCGGCTACTGGCCTCTTGTACCAGCCCCTGATGATAGATGATGGTGATTGTGAGCATTTGGTGGAATGAATATTGGGAAGGGAAACCGAAGTACTCTGAGAAAACCTGCCCCAGCGCCACTTTGTCCACCACAAATCCCACATAACCAGACCCGGGCCGCCGCTGTGGGAAGCCAGCCACTAACCGCCTGAGCTATGGGGCGCCCTACCTGTGCCATAAGCAAACTGCTTCAAGTGTCTGCGAATTAACTTCCTCAGTTGCCATGTAATATTGAAAATACGTTCTGTTCTTCTTAGACAAGCTTGACATAATGCAATTAAATGAAAGAGGGCAGACATAATGTGATCCATTAATGTTTTCAGAGCCACAAACCGGATTCCGCATTGCCTTCAATATGTTTGACACGGACGGTAACCAACGAGTCGACAAGAACGAATTCTTAGTGGTGAGTACAAACCCTGGAATGCTGCAACCCAACTGACATCGAAGTTATGTTCGTTGCGGAGTTGCAGGTGCTACCGATCCATCCAAGTCATGGGTCTTGTGCTGGATTTGTTTTTTCTGCGAGGATGGCAAACCTTACTGCTCCCCGATGCCTAATTTAAGTCAAATGCTGCTCATGAACAGAAAGTGGTGCAAGCTATCCAAGTTGTGCCAGTACCACATGGCGGACATGTGGTACTGGCACAGTTTTACACAGTTCTTTAGTTCTTGGTTCTGTATGTCTTCATGAGCGTGACACAAATGGAACCAATTTTACTGCGAGATGGCTCCTTAATTTTGTATGGTAACTAACCCAGCCTTTGAACCAGGAGCCTTCTTTAGTGGTTACCCACCTGGTGAAGAGAGTCTGTCTTTCTGTCTGTTGCTCCCACTTGGAGAATAGGGCATGCATGAAACTCTTCGTTTCAATTCATTTACTCAATTTTAGACAGACGGTAGGACTCCTTGGACAGGGGATCATCCCAACACAAGGCTGCTACCTACACAGGACAACACAAACACAATAAATGCAAACATCCATGACTTGAGTGGGATTCGAACCGACGATCCCAGCTTTCGAGCAGGCGAAGGTATTTCATGCCCAAGACTGCGCAGCCACTGAGATCGGCCGGTCAAGAGAGTAGCCACCTTATATATAACACAAAAGTAGACAACCTTATGGAAGAAGAGTGCTATATATGGGGACAAGCCAGACATTTTCCAACCCGTAGATTCTTGGAAAATATCGAAAGTGAAGGAAAGAGGAAAATATACCAGATATTAATATAAAAAATCAAAATTATTTCATAAAAAATACATTCTCCTATCCTGAATACTCCAGGGTGATTAGTAAAATTAGTCATAAAGAACTTAGCTGTAAGTTTGTGAGCATAAGCATTAACCTATCTGATTTATCAACTCTTGCCTTTAATGTGACATGAAAGCTTTTACTCTACTGTATGACTCCAGATCCGTCGCCTGATGGGAGGAACACTGATGTATGAGCGAGAGACTGATGAGGCCACCCGCAAAGTTGTGAGTTGTTATCATGTGAATGTGCGTTCTAGTCCTCACCACAACCAGCACACACCTTGTGTCTTGTCATTGCAGTATGCTCAGAACTTAACCCTTGTATAACATGCAAGCATCATTCAGATCAAGCATCTACAAGTATATCTTACCTGTCTGCCATTTTGTAGTGCTACATGTACCTGCCCGTGGATGCAGGAGTGAAATTATGCCAGTGGTGGCAGACAATATAAATTTCTCATTCCTAGACAATTAAAAAATAAATTAAGTGAAATCAATGAGTATTCAATGGCAATTTTTGCATATGGTTAATTGATAACAAATGGAAAACTTTTGCTTAAAATTTCTGTAAAATGTGTTATTTAGAGCAGTGCAGTTAAGCAGTATTGTTTCAAAACATGTTTTCTGCCTATACTGTAGCATTTCTATCCTGAGATTCAGTGTACTAGAGATCATATACTAGGAGGTAAAGAAAAATGGTTTATTTATATACTCAAGTAAGAACTGAAGACAGCAGGGCTTATTTAAAGGGAGGTGTACAGGTGTGACATCCACCCTGAAATTTATAGAATGATATGGAAAGAAAGTTATTATCTCCTAGCAAAATTTAATCAGGTAAATGTTTTGAAATGAAAAGATTTATATTTATATAAGCAACATAGAAGATTTTTGATTCTGTGATGAAATGTAGTCCCACTTAAATTCCAAAAACAAGAAACACTATTCTCTTATGTTATTATGTTTATTGTTAATTATGTGAGTGAAATAAGAATTCACTTCTCATGTTAGAGAAATATTTTGTGTTTTTTACAATATAAGTAGCAAGTCACAGTATAAATTCAAACCCTTGATGCTGAATGAAAATGAAACCAGAAATGCTAACAAAAATTTGAAATTAGCAGCTCTGCAGTTAATGGTTATGTGCTCGAATAGTAACAGAATTTTGAAATGAATGTAAACAGATGGGCAGACATGTTTAAACCCACAGTTGTATCCTCCATGTGATGTGTAATAATGAGAAATTTAAAAAGGATTATTATTTTGTAAGTGCAGCTTTTCTGAAGAAAATTTCTGTAACTGAATCAGACTGTATTTGTGAGTTGATGGTGCAAGGTGGTTTGGTGGTGGTGGTGATGGTCAGATTTCAGGTCTTCGCCAGCTTGCATCTGTAACCTTCGCTTCAAGGGTACATGTAACATGCATGATCAGAACCTCACTTCGATGAAATCTAATGCCTGTGCATCCTTGAAATGTAACTATCCTACCACTCAAGTTGTTAATCATCACTTTTCTAGTTTAATATGTATATATGTTTTTTTTTGTTACTTGTAGTGATATGAAAAGCTCCCAGTAAAAAGTTTAAGCACCACAGGAATATTTGTAGAAGAATGCATACACACTTTGATATTAAAGAAAGTAGAGTGTCTCCCTAATTATTGCAGATATTCTTAATTCTATGAGAATTATTAATTGCTGTTGGTAAAGAAATTCAACTCCAAAATGAGGAAAGAAGTTTTCTATAAAGACTTTTTGCATTGTGTTACAGGCTTAACTACTTTCATTGTTAGGGGTCCTAACTACAAGTTTTCCCCTAAGTTTTAGCACGGAATAGAGTGAAATGTATTGTTATAAGCTTAGCATCAGAACTCTTCTGTGACCTGCTATAGAAATTTTTTACTTTTATGGTACCAATTTTATATATGACATTCTCAGAGGCAAGAAGTCACAACTTTTCAGACTGCCAGTATGATCAGAAAAATGCATAGATACAAAATTATGATTAAAGTAAAATGAAACTGACGTTAAGGACACTCAGTTACTATGGGATTCTGATGATGGTGTATAACACACTGATATATTGGGTTTTTGGACTTTTATCCGTCGTCCTGGTTTTTAAGATAACAAATAAAAACACGACGTTTCGGAAACTGGATCTGTTTCCGTCCTCAGGTGAAGGAAAACGCCTATTCTGCTGGGTCCCTTAGAAAGAGCTAGCCTCAATCACTGGATTGAGTGATTCTAGTGATTGAGGCTAGCTCTTTCTAAGGGACCCAACAGAATAGGCGTTTTCCTTCACCTGAGGACGGAAACAGATCCAGTTTCCGAAACGTCGTGTTTTTATTTGTTATCTTAAAAACCAGGACGATGGATAAAGTCCAAAAACCCAATATATCAGTTAAGGACACTCCCTTAATATGTAACTGAACAAGAGTACAGGGAAGAGGTTATGATGTCTAGAATTTATTTTTGGTTTTATTTACTGTCTACTATGCAACAGTGTTAAGGTTTAAAAATAGTCCTTTTAAAATTTAAGACAGCACTACATGTTTCACCATACTTGGCCATAATCAGGCGCGTTAAGAGTATGGGAAACTGCTATGCCTTCTACACTACTGTGACCGCTGGTTTTGTAATTATGATGTTTCTCAGTGAAGTCACTGTAGTTCCTCCTCCTATGTCACTTAATTTAGAATCATTATAAATACGAAAACACCGATCACAGTAGAACAGAAGGCATAACAGTTCCCCTGAATTTTAACGTGCCTGATGACGGCCAAGTAGGCCAAAACATATAGTGCAGTGGTAAATTTTAATAGGATTTAATTTTAAATCTTAACATTGTTGCATAATGGATGGTAAACAAAACCAAAAATAAATTCTCATACCAACTGTAACAGGATGATAAAATACAACATTATGATGTCTACTTACCTTTAAATATTTTCATCAGTGTAAAGAGCTAACAGATATTACACATGAATAGCAAAAGTAATACAATACAATCATCTCTTAGCTTGCATAATTTCTGGTAGTTCGTAGTTATTGAACTTACCTGTGAAGTTTTGCAACATTGTCACATTTATAATTTTGATACAAAAGAAAAAACAATTTAGAATAGGTACATATGCATATGACTGTCCATTGTGTGATTCAGTGACATATGTAATTAAGATAGAGACTAATTGGCCAAGTATCTTGATACTTGGTATTTTCAGCATATTACTGAAATCCACTTCTCCTATACATTTTTCACTCTATGACCTCAGCAGTGCTCAACATGACAGCAGTAACAATATGCGGTGGTAACACTGCTGTCATTTTGAAGACTTTATGACATATTACATGGTAGCATGGGAATTATGTGACTTGTATATTACATTATTTTTTTAACAATACGAAAAATGACAGCATTATGAATGTCTGGAATATTTGGTTTGATACTGATAAGTTTCAAATCTTGATTCATTAAATTTGTTTGCTTATATTATTTAAATGTTCAAAATGTTGTAAGTGCACTGAAATCTGCAGTATCTTAATCTGCACTGGCAGTGAGTGCTTGAGCTCTTGTATTCTGTTGTATGTCCATAACAAAACTCACAGTCATTTTCATAAACTTGTGATGACTTCATTTTGAGTGGTATGATAACTAATAAATTGCATCATTTTGCAGCCACGTGTGCTATATTTGCTTATGTGTGCTAACCAGTGGTTCATTGTTTCAGAATTCATCCTTGTCTACATGTGTGTCTGTTTTATTTGTAATGATCCTACACCTCTTGCGCGAAAATAGGGGTAAAATATGATACATATATAGACAGTCAAGGGAAGAGAAGGAAAAGGTTATGCTGTGAACTAGACTCTACTCATATGATGATGATGATGATGATAATTCACTTCAATTATTATTTATTTATATGTTAACTGAAGAGTCCAAAGGCCATTTACAAAGTTAGCACGAGTAATGAAGAAAACAAGAAACACACAAACAAAATACAGAAACAAGGCAGTTTATATAACATTAACAAAACAATTTTAACCTATGCGACTGTGAGGCCATAGCTTATTTCATATTTTGTCACCTGGGTCAGTTATTCATGGAACCAAGTGACTTTTATGATGCCCCCATAAATAAAGTCCTACATTTCATTTTAAATGTAGGATTAATAGAGGGTCAATCCAAAGGGGAAACACAATAGATCATTGAAGGTCGCAGTGCAAGGGCCAGATTTTATGGCCCACCCCTTACACACATACATACATACAAGATAACAATTTCATTAACCATCATTATTCAAGACAAGGAGATAAGCTACAGCCACAGACAGTAAGTAAAGCACACCAGCTTTGGTGTCCCATCCAGTGGCTTGCTTCATCATCAGAAATAAAGCTGCCAGAGAATGAAGTCAAACACTCACTTCCATCTGGTGCTGAGGCATAGAATTTGTGGAGCTTTACCTCCATGGCCCATCTGTATCTATATGATGTCCTTAGGCACAGGGTAATTTTAGCATTACTCTTTTAGCACAGAACGAAGAAAATGTGTTACTGACATCCTCTTATTATTTTGTAGCATAATGGTGGAATTTGGACAAGCCCACTTTTTCTCAAGAAAGTTTATAAGTGTTATTATATCAGTCTAATGGAAGTTGCTATCTGGAGCAATGTTACCAACCAGTGATATTGAGCGTAGGTGCCATATGAACGCCTTGTCTTTGTGCCTGAGCATGTTGTGAATATGAATAGCATTTATGCAAATTTTGTTTTGCTGGTTGAAGAACCACTACAATATGTGATATTGTTGTGTGAGTGTGTGCATTTGTGCAGTACTGTGTAACTTATGATTAGTGTTCATATATAATTTTCCGCTATACAGTAACATGCCTTGAAGTTACCATTAAATGTATAGCATATTAAAAATATGTTAAAATTACAAGTAATATCCCTGTCTTAACAGTATAATACTTTCGGGGTCTTACGCCATCTGCCTGCAAATATTCTCCTTTCTCATTTAGCATCTCAGCAGAACTTTGCATTTGAAGTCACAGAAAAATTTGGTCAGTCTCAGATTATATATAATTTAATTCCTTGTTTTATTACACTCAAGTGAGTATTCGTAGTATCTATTCATCTGAAGACAGGATCATCTTAAGCAACCCTGAGTCTGATACACGAGATCACAAAGCACAACATTTAGAACCAGGTCACTAATATTAATGTACACGTGAAAACCTTGAAACACAGCAGCAAATATGATTCAGTCAGCATTATCTAAGAACAAGTGTATAGCCCAACATGTATTTCAGTAAACACAATGACTTCTTAACACCTGTAATTCACACAAATGTGGGCAGAACAAAATGAAACTTGATGGTTATTGAAGACAGATCAGTGTTACCAGTCTATGTCTAAAGAATAATAGCTATAATATTTTCATTTGTAGCAACATTCCTTTCTTGTCTTCATGTTTAACGTGGAAGTGAAAAGTTGAAAACTGTTTGAGACAGATATCCACATTATCAAGCTACCTGTTTTTTGACTATTTGATGAGACAGTAAAATCCATTTTTGAAATGGTAGCACCCATGAGGGAGTTTCAACTATTGCTAATGGCAGCAGCCACCTGGACCTAGGTTTTTTTTATTGCTGGTGAGGTGGGACTAAGTCCCTTGCACTGCGGCCACTTCTGGCCTATTCTACCAGCCCCAGATGATAGGTGAGGGTGATTGTGGAGCAAATGGTGGAATGAAGATTGGCAGGGTAAACCGAAGTACTCAGAGAAAACCTGCCCCACTGCCACTTTGTCCACACAAATCCTGCATGACCAGACCTGGGATCGAACCCAGGCGGCCATGGTGGGAAGCCAGAGACTAACCGCTTGAGCTATGGCACTGGACCTAGGTTTAATATGGGTTTCTGATCATGAAGATTGTCATATATTTTGCACATTCGAAAACTCTATGCTGTAGTGGTGGTGTTGGTTTGATCTGATCAGAGATAAAACTTCAGAACTTCAGAAGAAGAATCTGGTGTATAATCACGAGATCAGCAGCTCCGTAGCTTTACAGCTTCAGTAAATCCAGTCTATAAATGTCATCCATTTGGTCATTATTTCTTTGCCTGGTGAAAGTTTTAAACGGTTTCATCACAGCCTTCGATGATGTCCTGTTGTGCTGTCTTCAATTATACATGTGAGGATGCCTTGTACAGTTTTTGCTTAGACATCATGTTTTGTTCAGTATTATCAGTGTTATAATTTTTGTCATTGTTTATATTATAATAACACTAATTTTTAATTTATTTCCTCATTATTATTTCAAGTGTAATTATTATTATGAACTTCAAAATCTATTTCACTGGAAGTGTAAACAATAATTTATTTATTCACAACAAGCTACTTAAGTCTGTTACTTTGTTACTTTGATGTTACTTTAGTTGATGAAGCTGGTGGCGCGCTCAGTGCTAGTGATTTACCCTGACAAGAAACAAAAGCAGCGAGAGTTAAAGGCCAAGAAACAGTCATCACCATCATTTGTAAGTCACCTGTTTTCGGTTTGCTGCTCCTCCTGCTGCCAGTGATGCTTGTCAGTCCACCATTTAGTGTGACATTTTGCTGGATAACTGTTCCCGAGTTCTGCACGGTTTGTGCCTCGCAAGCAGGTAGCGTGAGAACATCTGGAGGAGGAAAAATCAGTAGTAACTGCTTTTGGGTTAAACCATAATAACAGCTATCAGCATTATTTACAGTTTATGAAATTTCAGTAATGGTACAGTGCTGTAGGATACAGGTGGATGTAATTCCATGGCTTCTTTGATTAACTGTTACATTGTCAATGACATAGAACATGGAGGATGGTTAAGTAGCATTCTGTCTCCTGGGATATAACACCATTTAGTTCACTGAAAGTCAGCTGATATTTCAGAGGAACACAGAGGTGACATGTTCCTGCAGAATGTCAGTTGTTATATCCCAGAAGATAGAACTCTCCATAGGACACGTTTCTTTATGAATAACTGGCAAAAGTGCCTGTTATTCACTCACATTTTTTTAAGTAAATTGTATTGAAATAATGAAACAGATTACTTATTATGACATGCTGTATCCCTGCATAATGAATGCTTGATGCATTAAATGGTCCAGGCAAAAAAAGCAGCAGTTGAAAAGAATATTTGGACCTTGTGAGAGAGGGAAGAATAGGTGGATGGATAAAGTTATATAAATGGAGCTTCATTATTTGCAGTCCTCACCAGATATCATTAAGGTGGTCAGGTCTAGGATGATGAGATGGGAAAGACGAGAAATACTTGTAGAATTTTAGTAGGAATACTTTTAAAGGAAGAAACTGCCTGACAGATGTAGACAAAGAATAGGAAAGTAATATTAAAATAAGCAAGTGATGTGTGAGGATTTGGATTGTGTTCATCTGGCTCTGGATAGAATATAGTAGTGACCTGTTATGAAAATGATAATGAACCTTCCAGTTCCATGAAATGTGGAGAATTTCGTAAGAACCTGAGCAATTGTCACTTTCTCAAGAAGGGATTTTCAATAGAGTCTTTTTGCACACATGCATACAGTGAGTTTTCTGGGAGATGTTTCTGTGAAGTGAACTTAAACTTTATGGGTCAGCCTGACCTTCTGCTTTGCTGTGCACCCTCAGAGAATCTCACTATATACATGTATACTTATCACTTACTAACAGTAATATTCAGTGGCAGTATTTGTGTTCTGTACCAAAATTCAGCATCATAAATGTTCACTTTATACAATATTTACTATAAATTATAGCTGTAAAGTAAATAATGTTGATTCAGCATATGGAATACTGTATAACTTGGAATCCCGGTGACCTAAATTTCTTCAAACTCCAGATGTTTTCAGAGAGATGCCATTGTTTCCAAGTGAAAGCAGTTTTTATAATCCTTGTTATTCCAGTGCAGTCTGTTTTTTCATTCCCAGCTTGGCTTTGTCATCCAGAGTTCCACTGAACAAACACTGAGGACAACTGTGTGGAATCTCTCAGCCCACCAGTTTTTTGTTCATGCTCATCTGCTTATCTCATGCCAGTAACGTCAGGAGTTGATACATCATTTCTAAATGACTCAATAACTGACCAGTCCTTTCAAAATTCAAGTGCTTATATCGGAATTGTATTTTTCAATAACATTGTCTTGTACTTCAGAGTTCAGTTGACAATGACATTCTGAATCTAAGGCACTTCACTGTTTGGTTACCAAGAAGGAATACCAGAAAGTGCTGTAAGTATAATGGTGAGTAACGAATAAGAAGAAGGTGCATAATAAAATAACATAATAATTTATATAAAAGTATGTAAGTTTTGAGGTTTTCACGGCGATGACAATGAAGAAAGTCGTCTTCTGGGTTTAGGCACCGTGTATTCTTCGTTTTGGCCGACGTTTCGGAGGAACGTAGCGCCTCCATCTTCAGAGCAGTTGAATGGCTTGGAATGCTGAGAGCAGTAGCAGTACTTTTATATAAAAGTATTTTTGGAATCCTTATTTGCACTCAGCCTCTAACAGAAATGAGTACCAGGAATATTGTTGGAATATTCTTGGGGGTAAAGGGCGGCCGGCTTGTAGGGCCGACAACCTTGTGCCATCTATGAGCTGATTGTCTAGAAAATGTGGGAACCTCAACATCTCACAACCATATGGGCCTCTACAGCCTGTTACAGGGATACCTTTACTTCTTTTTGCTTAATAATGCATTTATATATAAATAATATAAAGCAGTTGAAGCCCTGCTACGCCCTGAGCTCTGTAGTCCCTTATGAAGCACCTTTGTTTCCAAACACGTTCCTGATACAATTTAGTGAAGCACTACAACGTTTTCCAGTAATTTTCAGTGTCTGTTATGTGTAAAGAATGTATTAATCATTATAGTACAAGGATCAGTTGTGTTGAAGGTAAAAGCACTGCATAATATACCATCATTAATTGAAATGAGTTTTCTATATTTTACATGTCAGTTAGTTTGGATTTCTGCATATGAATACCAATTGATGGTAGAAACAAACGACTGCACCAGTGCTAGTCAAAAATATGTTTCATCACTGTCAATTAAAAACTAAAAACTTGTTAATATCAAAGGTGATTGGAGATTTTTGTAATTGTAGGAGTGTTTCTTTTAAGCCTGATGCTGGGAGGCTAAACATTTGTGATGAATTCATGTGTATATCTGCATACGGTTTCAGGTGTGGGCTGCTGGGGCTGTACATGTGCCTATGTTCCTTGTAGGTTATGTATGAGCTGACTAACAAGGTAGTTACTTAGCATGTTCACACCAGGATGGTTCTTTGGTTCTCTCTGTAACTGTGCACAGGATAAGTCACAGAACCTGCAATTCAGTGATCCAGTTCAAAAGTTTTATCTCTTTGCCTAGTGATAGTTAGAAAGCTGTTTCATTATGCTTCTTACCCTTGAGACAAATAATAAATTGTAAATTTGCCCCTGCATCTGAGCAGTGTGCCATGAAAGCATATAAAGGCATGTATGTAAGACTCTTCATAATCTAGAGTAGTTGCCTTCAGGATCTAGCCTTTGTACTTGTGGGGAAACAACCTCAGTCTCCATTACATAGGAGACTAGTTAGATTGAAGAGCCAGTCTGGATGTAGGGGTGAGCAGTAAAAGCCATTTTCCCACTGTGAATCAAATCCTGGCTATTCATTCATCAGTCACTTATTTATTCACTCAGCTGTCACAGTTCATAAGGTAGACATTCTAATTGTTGTATTTGACCAGGAAGAATGTATATAAGTTTATATTTTTCCAGATATGGCTACTCACAGTCAATCAAAATTCTTATGAATTCCTGTGAGGCCTGTATAAAAATATTCAAGAATTGCATTCTGGTACAAACATGTTAAGTATTTCCTTATTCCTATGTATGGTGCTGAATAGATTTGTTCTCTTTCCTTGGAGCTAACTCTGTTCTGCTTGTAATACAGGCCTTGTTGGTTCCCTGTGGCATCTGGTGGCTACTGCTTATACCTTTGTCCTGCTTCTCTGCAACTTACTTTTAAGTCCTGAAGCTATGATATACTGTGAACTGAACATGTGAATCTGCTGCAGATGGAGAAAATATTCAGTCATGCCTGGAAAGGGAAACATGGGATACCAGAAACTATACCTAGAGAAGAGGACAAGAGGCAGCCTCAGCCTCTTGTGGAGGATTATGTGGATGATGAACAGGGACTCCAGAGGAAGCATGTAGTGGACACGACACTCCTTGTTCATTTCTTTGGAAAGAAGGGGAAAGATGAATTTCGCTTTGAAGGGTTCAAAAGGTTACATGCTAATAACAAAAATATTATGGATGTTGAGCTTTCATACCTTCAGATTTCAGTTTCAGCATGTTGTTGTCTTGCTGATCACTAGAGCAATTTACATTTTATTTTTTTTAGTAATAAATCTGTTGTTTGATATATATATATATTCTCAGTATTTATAAATGGACCATTACATTCTTCCTGTTGGTCAGTTCATTAAGACATTAAATCACTGTTGTTTCCATACATTCAACTATAAAGTTTGAAATAGTAAATCACAATTTACATTTAATCTGGGATAATTAGGTGATTTTTCCATTGGCATTCATCCCATGGATTTAATCTAACAAACCAACTTCATGTTACAGGACCTCCCTCAAGTATTTCATAGTTATTTATTTGACCAAGAAATTTCATGTTTTGAAACCTGGAAGGTTATTGTTGTGAACATGAACTCTCTGTCTAACTAACTAACTAACTAACTAACTAACTTCATGGAGCTGAACCCTTCTTAATAAGCTGGTAGTTGTGCAGCTACTCAAGAACTTCCCAGCAATTTATGAAACCCAGAAATTCATTACTGTGTTCACAATAGCCCTCCACTTGTCCCTATCCTGAGCCAGAATGATCCAGTCCATTATATCTCTTAAGATCCATTTTAATATTGTCCACACATACACGTCTTTGCCATCCTAGTGGTCTCTTTCCTTCTGGATTTCCCACGAATATCCTACATGCAGTCATCTTCTCCATTTGTGCTACATGCCGTGCCCACCTCATCCTCCTTGATCATTCTAATTATACTTGGTGAAGAGTTTTCTCCAACCTCCTGTCACTTCATCTCTCTTTGGTCCAAATATTCTCATCAACACCATGTTCTCAAACATCCTATTATTTTATTTTATCATGAACAACTTCTGTTTACATTTTAAAAAATGTTTCTGTAGGAACAATTTTAATATTTTTCTCCCATCCATGTAACAGTGCCTAGACTTCAGGCAACTAAGATTTTGTTCATTTCTTGTTCTGTCAGTTGCATGTTATTTGCCCTATCAGTGTGGTCCTCATTGAAAATCATAAGATAAAAGTTAATACCATTTAAGTAGAAACTTACGCATGTTCACAATTTTGCAGGTTTATGGAGAACCTTCAGACCGAAGTATTGGAATTAGAATTTCATGAATTTTCTAAGGGGCATGATACTATTACTGAAGTCGACTTTGCCAAGATACTACTACGCTACACACATCTCGACACCAATGAGTATGCTCGTTACAATAAAAACTGCATGACATAAATATTAATTCTTAATTCTTTAAGTTTTTGGCATCATGAACGTTTGTTTGGAGGCAAACTCTGCATATACAACAACCATAATTAATATAGAAGAGTTTTTGTGGGATAATTACTGAGATATGTCATAAGAATGGTATATAGGTGCCCTGACTGAGGTTTTACATGGTATCATAGTATCATCATCATTGTCTGCAAGGATTTGAGGCTCATACTGTCTCCATATTTAGGTTCAGGAATGCTGCAATCTAAATACCTTTCACTGTAACAACCTCAGAACTTTCAGTCTATACACTGGTAAACATTTTTATTATTTCATGATGTTCTCTCAGCCACTGAGATTATATAGCATCAGATGAAATGGTAGGATGACTGTGAATGTAGAATAATGAGGGATCTAGAAGGAAGTGGTCATGGCCTATTTTGAGGTACCCCAGTACTGTTCCAGCACTTTAGCTTTCTGTTCAGTAAGTGCCATTATGGGGTAATTTCTAATATCAGCAGGCTTTGATATTATCATTGAGGTTCTGTTATGAGAGAGTATTTTTTTATTGCTAGTGGGGTGGGACTAATTCCCTTGTACTGCGGCCACTTCTGGCCTATTGTACCAGCCCCAGATGATAGGTGAGGGTGATTGTGGAGCAATTAGTGGAATAAAGATTGGCAGGGGAAACCGAGGTACTCAGAGAAAACCTGCCCCAGCGCCACTTTGTCCACCACAAATCCCACTTGACCAGACCCGGGATCGAACCCGGGCTGCCACAGTAGGAAGCTAGCGACTAACTGCTTGAGCTGTGGCATGGCCCTATGAGAGAGTAGGTTATCCAGTTGGTGTAAAGGACATAACCTTTGGAGTAAAATATCTTGATTATAAACTTAGCCACTTATCTCTGTATGGGTCTGAGATGCAGTATCCATGGAGGTTTACATCACTCCTACTGTACTCCCTCATGTATGACACTTACTTTCTTGCCTCAAAATTTGCTTGAGACTGAGGAGAACCATGAAAATTCCTATCAATCAGGATTGGAGTCATGTATCCCCTGGATGTAAGTCCTGCAGCATCTTACTCATTGAACATATGCATTCCATTGGTGTCCGAAGTAGGTGAATTCAGAATTTGCAACAGATTGCTGATACAGTCTGCTGCAGCAAGCTCAACATCAAGAAAATAAGTGTACAGATATATAGACTCTGATTGTCTTTATTCCTTGCAGTCAACTACTTCCATATACTCTGTCGTATTTCAAATATTAAGTCCAACATAAGTCTGTTCTATTATATGTAATTGACACTAATGAGTTGTTGGTTTGTCTGTCCACTTAACTGAAGTTATTTGTCTCAAGTGTTTCTGAAGTTCATAGTTCCCACTTTTCCAGGTTCTGAGCTTTAATTTCACTGTGGTATATAAACATCATCTGTCACACCAAACTCTTTGCAGGTTAGCAAGTGTTCTGAATCACTTCCTCCAATTATCAGACATGTGTACGGTTTCATCTTCAACAAGTGAACATTTCAGTAACTTCAGTTTGCCCTTGTAATGTTTTAATAATTATACAGAACTTTTGCAGAAAGATAAAGAAGTTAAAAGTAACAGCTCTCAATCCTTGCTCTGCTTGATGAGAGACTTCATTTCTGTTCATTCTTCATGTCTCTTTACTTGTGAATATTGTAGCAGTTTCATTGACTTGGTGCAGTTGTAACTTACACATATTCTCTGTCATATTTCAGGTATGATATGTACTTGGATCGCTTACTAGACCGAATCAAGGAGGAGAAAGGAATCACATTTGAAGAGTTCAGGGTTTTCTGTCAATTCCTTAACAACCTGGAAGACTTCACTATTGCTATGAGAATGTACACACTTGCAGATCACTCTATCTCTAAAGGTAAAGAGCCGTTCATGTGATTGTCCCACATCTATCTGATGTGCACTCAATTTAAAGTGCATAACTTCAGTCTCCTCTGATAGTGTTATATTTTATTGCATGTAAATATTTTTATTTAGAGACACAGTTCTTATATGTTACAGATAATTCATTTTATTTTGAGTTTTCCTTTTCCTTTTGTCACTTTCCAGTTATCACTCTTCTTTATTCTAACTGTTCTCTATCTAATCATACTGCACTGCTGTCTGTAGTCATCTTAGTTTTACAGTGTTTTCATATTAAATTTTTAAACTATTCTAAACAAAACTAATAATTCATATCAGTTCAAATACTAACTAGCATAAAAACTATAAAAACTACGAGTAGGGAAATAGAAAGGTCCCTAAAATCTAGTCAAACCCATGGATATGATGAAATTTTGAATAATATACTCAAAGCCTGTAAAATCTTTATTAGTGAACCTATAAGTTACTTATGTAACAGAGCTATGCATGAGGGTATATTCCCAGGCTACAATTGTACCAATTTACAAAAAAGGCGATAAAAACTTAGAATCAAATTACAGACCTATATCCGTATTGACATCTGTTAGTAAGATATTTGAGAAGGTAATGGACAGTAGATTGTTAAAACATTTGCATGACAATAGTATTGTCACACTACAAATAACTTCCACGTAGGTCTCAACCCAGTAGAACCTTTATTGTTCTTCTCTTGTACACACACGCTTTGCAATTGTCATCACTTGCAGTATTACAATGACTGCTCACAATGTCTCGGCGATACTGGACTCTCTTCTCTGGTGGTTGTTCTAAGACTCTTCTTCGACGGCTGGACAAAGACTCACTTCTTCGAAGGCTGGATCGAGACTGACTGCTTCTCGCCGAAGCTAGGCATTTATCCCCTCGGCCGCTGCTAGGCAAATGAACCCTCTGTTATAGCAGTGGAAACGTTGCTTTGTTGGTTCCGCGTTTCCTACGCAATGACCCATTGTTATTGCGTTGGCTCTGTGGGAACGCTTCGCGTATTCATCGTAACCGTGGAGATTCGATGTTCTCGACACAACGGCTCACTGTTGGGACTGCAGTGCCGCCATTGTTACTTCCTATGCAACGGTCTATTCTAGCGTTTCCATAGAAGTTACTCTTCTGGATTCCCGACACGTTACAGTATATTAAGCAAATACCACCAGTTTGGATTCAGAGAAAATCAAGGGACTGAAAATGCAATTTATAGACTTATCTCTGGAATACTAGACTCATTAAAAATACAAGTCTGTGGGATTTTCTGTGATTTAGAAAAGGGTTTTGATTGTGTTAGCCATGATATATTATTAAATAAATTGAGGTATTATGGAATAAAAGACAAACAATACGACATATATAAGTCATATCTATTGAATAGAAAACAGAGAACTGCTGTCTCCAATGGGACAAACAGTAGTAAACTCTCGACGGGTTAAAGTAACTAATGGTGACACACAAGGGTCGACACTGGGACCACTATATAAATGACCTATCCAAGATTTTGGAGAGTAAGAGTTTTCTCATTCTATTTGCTGATGATGCCAGTTTTTTAATCTCTCAAGACAATCCAGTAAAACTTAAAAATACAATAAATGAAGTACATAGGGTACTGGAGGACTGTTTTAAAAAAAATTAATGTCACTTAATATAATGAAAACATATTATATAAACTTCACTGTAAAAAATAGTGTAGTTAAGAGATATGGGAGGCATAGGAACGGTTTTATTAAATACAAATCACATAAAATTTCTTGGCCTGACTATCCAAAATGATATAATGTGGGATAGACATATAGATGAGATAATAAAGAAGTTAAATACAGCTTGTTAGATGATAAGAAATGTAAAACCAGTGGTGTCTGTAAAGACATTAAAAAGTGTTTATTATTCATACTTCCATTCTGTTATGACATATGGAATACTGTTTTGGCGTAACTCAACACATGCAGAGAACAGTTTAGGAATATGAATATATTTCCTTTCAGATCACAGTATATATATACTCTCTGCTGATGTTTGTAGTAAAAAATATAGAAATATTTGATACAAAGGGATCACTATGAAATAAATACTAGACATAATATGGATATACACATGAGCCAGGTAAATTTGGCGAAATATGGTAGTGGGGTAATTCACATGGCCTTAAGGATTTACAGTGCACTACCTAATAAAATTAAAATAACTTCTAATGATATAAATAAGTTTAAAAACAATTTAAAGGAATTTCTTTATTTAAATTCTTTTTATACACTGGATGAATATTTTAAGAGATAATGGTTATATAACTATATAAATATATAGGATGTTGAGTAGTACAGTAAATGGATAATCATCGTGGATGTACGATAACCATACTTATAGTTGAATGTTTTTATATGTTGGAGTTGTTGTGTATGTTAAAGCTATATGACCAAAATAGTCTGTTACTTCTGACAGAAACTTTTATCTTAAATTTTTATTTTAAATGATAATTTTGAGTGTATTGTGCTAGAGAGTAATTGTATTATGATGTAAACAAACACTGTCATATATTATAAGTCTTTTTGACAATTGCTTGATAGTATTAGCAAGATAAATTGACACAATTCTGTATCTAAGGCTTTAGCCTACTATAGATGTAATGGAATAAGGAAGAAATAATAATACCCCTGGACCGAAGTCTGTAAGTCATTCCACATGTTTATATAAATATTTGCATTTTATTATATACAGTAAAACTTGGTTATAGCAACATCGGTTTCTGCGACACCTTGTCTATTGCGTCAAATATTCAATGGTACGAACTAATTCCTCATAAAACAACTGTTTTTATACCTTGCTTAGTACGACATGCACAAATGCATCAACCTCGTATGTAACGTCATTTTCATTCCTGAATTTCTCTGATATGGATATCGAACGTAATTTAGAAAGTGTGTATTGGGCAAGTAAGAGGAAACAGATGAAGATAACTGATTACTGTACTCCTATCAAGGTACAGTAAGGCACAACAATTGATGTAATCTACTGTAACTTGGTGAGTAGGCCTACCTTTAATATACAGTATTAGTGGGGTGTGTATTGTCAGTGAAAAGCGCTGTAATATGTCTTTGATATTACACATTTGGGCAATTCCACGTTAATGTTACGTTAGTCTGTACTTAACTACGTATTCCACTAAAAAATGCAACATTTTAACTCGGTTTTTGGTAGATTTTTACGTGACTAACATAAGGCTACTGTGGAAGTGCCCATTTCGGTTACAACGACATTCGTTTATAACGACACTATTTTTAGGTCCCTTTGATGACGTTATAACCAAGTTCTACTGTAATTCTCTCTTGCATTCTGGTCTGATAAAATGTATTAAATATTTAAAATCATATATTTGTTCTCTTGGTGTATATTGATTTAAACTGTGGTTTGATCTTAATGTTCCCAGATGAATTCATGCGTGCAGTGAAAATTTGCACTGGAACCAGCCTGAGTCGCCATCTAGTGCACACTGTGTTCCAGATCTTTGATGAAGATGGAGATGGGCAGCTGAGTTACAGGGAGTTCATTGCAATTATGAAAGACAGGCTCCACAGGGGATTTAAGGTATGAGCAATTATATTCAGTATTGAAAGAAGGTCTGACATGTTTTCTTCACATTCTTAAATAATTCACCAATTTCATGATGAGCTGGAGAGAGCTCAGTCATGAATTCAGTCCCATCAATACCAGAGACTGTCCCTGGGACTAAAGCAGCTGGAGAAAGAAGCTAACCACCCGCCTTTATTCAGTCCTGATACCTGTGATGTATGAAGTTTTACCTCCACCTTTGTATATGCCTTCATAGCATGATGCTTGGACATAGACAGGTCTAGTTTACCTTGACTCACATTTCATAACACATTATTTTGGGAATATTTAAAAAAATATAAAATGAGACACACCATGACAAATCCAGTTTATAATTAATTTATGATTTTAAGAGATTATGGGGGTGACATAAGCTTCTGAATCCTGAAAGTCACCTAAAGAATATTTTAAACATCAGTTACTACATAGCAGAAAACACAATGCAGCTCCATTATGAAGACAAATCAGTTATTGCAGTTTATGGAAATAAGTAGTTTCTTCCTAGACCCAAATAAAACCTACTGATAAGGCCATGCCATAGCTCAAGCGGTTAGTCGCTGGCTTCCCATCGTGGTGGCCCGGGTTCGATCCCAGGTCTGGTCAAGTGGGATTTGTGGTGGACAAAATGGCGCTGGGGCAGGTTTTCTCCGAGTACTTCGGTTTCCCCTGCCAATCTTCATTCCACCAATTGCCCCACAATCACCCTCACCTATCGGCTGGTACAATAGGCCAGAAATGGCTGCAGTACAAGGGACTTAGTCCCACCCAACTAGAAAAAAAAACCGATAAGGACAAAAAACAAATTGAGGTAGGATATACTTTATGTCATATTAACATCTGTGGTTTTCAGAAATTCAGCATGAACCTTCTGAATTGGTTTTTATAACTGAAATTCTGGTGTACATTCATGTTTTCAGTCATATGCCAAGAATGAAGGCTGGGATGCTTTTAAGTCATGCGTGAAGCAAGAAATGAAGACGCCAGTGTAAGAGAAAACTGCATGTATCTGATTAATCATAAAAGTGTGCAGTTATATTGGCTCATGAGTTTCCAATTTGAATGAAGTGTGAGAAAACTCTGGTTCTTTTCATATTTCTGATCACTTTATATAAATCAAGTTTTGTTTGACTCCATACACTACATGAAGTCACCCACTGTTGGAAGTGTTCAGCAGAAAAACATTTAATTGGTTTCAGCACAACAGTTACCTATCAAAACAAAGATGTGCCTAATTCCATATACAATCACAAAACTCCAGCTCAACAAATACAAGTGGAGGCCTTCAAAAGATGTGTACTATAGACTCACATACAGTTCTTTTTTACTGTTTATACAAAAACAGATATATGAATGCTTGTCCTTGCTGTTTCCATTCCTGCTCCGAGTTTGGTTCCACGCACGAGGGAAGAGGCATAAGGTACTGTTTATTAATAAACTGAAACAAATGCCTTGGGTCCATTTATGTATCACTTTGTAGGTATAATACCTCAGACAAATGTGATTTATAATAGCATTTCAAATGGTACCAGTATGTATGCAAACAATAACCATGACAAATTCTGTATCTTTACACAAGTGATTGATGATTCAATATAAAATATGAAAAAAAGACATTCATTGGAATGATTGATGAAGGCCATGAAAACCTCAAAAGAACTGAGGGTGCTGTGTCCAAGATTGAAGCTGGGTAGCTGCAGGACACAAATCAGGCACACTAGTTGACAGCTACTGATTCTAACTGAACACAAACAATTTTCAATATAATTAACTTGGGAGGAGCCAGGATAGTTCAGTGTAGTAACTAGGCTACAGACTGGATGAATGAGGAATCAGGTTCAATTTCTGGCAGGGGCAAGAGATTTTTTTCTCTTCTCCACAGCTTCCAGACTGGCCATGGGCCCCACCCAGCCTCCTCTCCAATGGCTATCATTTTCAGTGTCTTCAGAGGTAAAGTGGCCAGGAAGTGAAATTCATCACTCACCTCCATCTAGTGCTGAGGATTAGGGATGATGGAGGTAACCTCCACTCTGCCATATGTCTTCATGGCTTGGTGCTTAATTAAGTACAGGGATACCTGTACCTGTTTTACTTATAAGTAACTTGGATTAATAGTTTTTGGAAAACCTGTGGATTATCTGATAGAAAAGTATAAAGAAAAATCATATGCAGAAAGTTTAGCATTATTTATTTATACATCATTTCATGTTTTCACAAACTAACTTTAGTTATTCCTCTATCATGTCAGCAGACTGCGCTGCTCTCCGGGGTGTTTTTGGTATGGCTCGGTTTTACTACCCATCACCTTTCTTTGTTTCATCATTTGTTCGTTTTGACATTGTCCTTGACATGTTCCTTCTATTTATGAACATTTTTACATTAAATACATTGTTATTCTGTAGTCTGGATTCATGTGCCACATGACAAAAGGGGAAAACAATATGAACACTTTCACAAATGTTTCACTGGCACAGGTTTACTATAATAGAATTATGCAATTAGGACAACAGCACCTCCAGTAGTTCAACTGGAGGACGTGACAAAACAAGTTTCCTTCCACAGTTTCCTCAACAGGCTGGGAAGGTCCTGCAAACAAATCAGTTTAATTAATTAAAATCAATGCTGTCACAATCAGTAATTATTTTGCTATCAATTTCAATTTATTTCAAATTCAAAATAGATCCAGATACAGGCTGGGAAACAACCATTGGATATAGAATGAATCAGATCAAAAAACAAACATTCCATTCCCAGAGGAACAAATCAAGGCATCCATAATATAAAACAATAAAAAAGAACATATCAACCATATATATACAACAAAACTCCCCCAGTTTACAAAAACAACACAGAACCAAGACAGTAGAACTCACAGGTTTCAGGTGTCAGTACAAGCTCTTTTTTCATTTTCATTACTCATCTATTATTTCCATAAAATCCAAATACTTTAGGATGTGGAAAAGTCATATTAGATAAATAAGCAGTACAAAGAACTAAGCCAAGACATAAGAACAGAACCAGAATACAGTTAAGCTTACTGACTGGTATATACAAAAATTCATCCCCAGTATAAAATGGGTGACAAGTCAAGAATTCTTTTAGTTTTAATTTAAACTGCTTAATATCTTTATATAATTGCTTCAAATTTAGTGGGAGACAAATGAATAGTTTGACGCCCATATAATTTGAGCCTTTTTGATATAATGACAAACGAGTTGAGGATTGATATAGACTTAGGTTGAGTACCTGTCTAGTGTCTCTATTATGTATATCAGATACAAAATAATATTGATCCATGCTATCGACCACAAAAGATAGTAGTGAATAAATATACAAAGATGACAGAGTAAGAATTTTTAGAGTAGTGAATATCAATTCCATTAGTTGATCATTCAGTTACAATAGACAGTTAGGATGCCATTCTGAAAAACTAGCTTCAGGTATCTGAAATATATTCAATTTACTTTTTACTAGTTTTAACCTCAAAAGATGTCTTAGTACCACAAACCCAGATCACTGATTTTCACCTGCAATGTCATATTGAAAAACATTCCTTTGTTTTCCTTTGTAGGTTGAGACTTGAAATTACAGGTACATTACTAGTTTATCAATAAAATAATTTACAATTAATTTACCGAATAACTAGCTGTTTATCAACTGATGTTAACTGATTGATAGTTGACACTTCTAATTTATATAAACTTCAAAGTTAATTGTAACTTCTTCTTTCAGCATTGATTACTACCACATTACACATTTCTAATGGAACTTCTTAACATATTTACAAATCTTGTACAAAACATCTGTGTCTTGCTGTAATGAGTATAAACTTATAATGATGTTCTTCCAAAACATTAGTTCACTTTCAGTGAACTAGAAGACAGAAATCTTCAATTTTAATACTTTTTATAAATTCCCCTCACACAGACTGTATAGATATACACTAATAGGTTCAGATTTACTCTTATCTGCAAGAGAGAACAAACCTTTCAAAACTGGATTCTGGTTCTGCAAACTTATGTCTGACCATGAAAGTAGCCAGGACTTCAGCAACCTTGTCTGGCACATCTTCGTGCACAGCATGTCCACACTGTGGGAGCACTTGCATCTGGAACTTGCCTGCAGATAAAATACAGACATGTAAATACTTGTGTTCTAGTGATGACAGGCAAACTATTTCAATAGAAAATGCTTAATTATACAGCAAGCAATGTCACAATTTATTCACCTCATCTAGTACATTAATTGCTACTGGAGCCAGGATAGCTCAGACAGTAATGGGCTTCAGGCTGAACAGTTGTGGTTTGATTCCTTGCAGAGGCAAGATTTTCTCTCCTCCACAGCGTCCACACTGGCTCTTAGGCCCACTTAGGCTTCTATCCCATGGGTACTGGGGTTCTTTCCCCAGGGGTAAAAAGGCAAGGTCAAGAATGGTAGAGCTATACTTGCACTCCCTAAAATGTCTTCCTGGCGCCATGGTGCATAATTAAGCACAGGGACAACTTTGCCTTTGCTTAGTACTATTAATACTTGAAGGACTGTACATGTGGCACATGCAGCATGTGGGGGGCATAATGCATATAAATCTGTTATTGGAGAATCTCATGGAAGATTTAGGCACAGATAGGAAGATAATATTAAAATGGTTGTGAAACAAATGGATATAACAAAATGAATGAGATTGAACTGGCCCAGAAATAAGAAATTATTTATTTTTTAAATATGTTTGTTAACTAACTTAAATTTATCCAAAAATTGGTTTATCTCAAAAGGACATACAGTTCACACCTCCCTATTTAAGATTCATGGCTCACCTTGCATCTGACCAACAGTTAGATCCTTGTCAAGTCTATCAATTCCAGCCAAAAGCAGCATTTTGGGTACAGGGCAATTAAGGAATGTGTTAGATAAGCCTTTGAACCAGCCAGACCAGTGTTTCTCTGTCTGACCCAAATCTATTCGCCACACGTACCTCCATGTCTGACTGTCTTTGTCTGCCTGAAAAGGAAACTGTACTATAGACAATTCACAGTCAGATGAGACATTATAGAGGATAGAAAATTAAGGATATGAGGGAAGCAGGCCAAGAGGGAGACGCCAACAAATGTGGGAACAAAGTGTTGTTCAGAATATGCAGAACAAGATGGAATGAGGCCAAAATCCAGGGTAATGTCAGGAAAAGCTGAAGATTCATTTTCAACAATTGTACACCATTAAGTAAAACAGCATCAAGTACATAATCTCACAATTAAATGTACAATGATAAATAATACGTTGACTGACAATGCCTGACTGACTGGCTGGTTAATGATGCTGTATTAAGTAAAACAGTATAACCTCTATAGTTTCAAATGAAATGTAGGAATTATCAAGAATAACAGAAAAGCATATGGAAGTAAGGCACCAGCCACACATTTGCCTGAATTGACTGAATATAACTGAAAAACCTCAGGCATGGATGTTAACTATTATACTGTAACATTTACGCCTCACCGGCTTGTCATCTTCAGTTCAACATGAACATTATGCTCCCATTAAAGTACAGAACTAAGGGGGGAGGGGAAGTGCTGTTACAAATTTAATGCAATGTCTTGAGTTAGGTTAGGTTAGGTAACTAGCCAATAGCAACTGAAGAAGAAGAATTAAATGGTTTTATTAAATTCTTGTTCAGTACATTGTCATACCAAAGCAGATGGATGTTTGAAGACATCTGCAACCGCTGTATGACCTTCACTGTTTGAGGCTTCAATTACTTCTTCCCAAATGGCATCGCCAGACAATGCACTCTGCCGCTCATCCACTTGGCCCACAGGTACATATGTATCTATATCATTTGTCGCAAGTTTACCCGACTTACTACTGAAATACAGGTCACAGAACATCATTGTGGTAAACCATATAAAAATTATATTTTAGTGTTTTTCATTGAAGTTCAAACATCCATTCCATGTCACAGGCACAGTAAATGATTATGTCATAATCTACTAAACTAGTTACTGCAATCAAATATGAAATGTTAATATCACAATTTTCAGAGATAAAATTAAAGCTCTTAACTGTGGTTATGCCTCCTGAAGATTCCTACGGGAGGTACTCAATTAAAGTTTTGCGACATATCAGATCAAAATGGCTATGCTACATGCTCTAATTCACTGGATACTGAAAAGTTCTGAGCATCCTCAGTTTCTCGGAAAGATGCACACTTGTTCTCTAACTTCATTTTAAAACAGTCCTTGCACTGAAATTATTTTGGATTTATAATCTGATTGGCATCTTTGCTGTAAGTAATAACATAAATAAGCTGCATGTTAGCCAATATTCATGTGACAGAATTTTTAGATCCATGAAATATTTCATCTCTGTATGGAAATATGAAATTCTCATATTGCAAAAAGAAGCATCTTCCTTCAAAAACTGTTTAAGTGAAAAATCATTATTCCCCTTATTAATATCAATAAAGAGACATCTGAGAGGTGTTAATGCAAATTCATGAACTGAATGTGATGAATAAGGAGTTAAGACATTCATTTCCTACATTTATTTTGCTGTAATAGAATTTCTCATGAGAAACAGTGTTATAACACTCAGTATATTTTGCAGACAAGCTTTCTCTGTATTTATTCTGTGCTTTTCCCTGTGGCAGAAGAGTTCTGTTCATAGCAGTGAAAGGGTTAAAGGAAACAGTATCTTTATAAATACTCTGTATCAACCATTGAACACTTACTTTTTAATCTGTCCAGGCATGGAAACTTTTGCAGACTCAATATTTCTCACTTGTCCACTTCGTATACTGCAAAACAAATACAAGTTTTCTGTAGTTATAGAAAGCTCTGTGATAGAATGAAATAGTGACATTATGGCATGTATGTTCATGTACAGTAGAACTGTTCAGTTCCTATTCAGACGGTATAAGTCCCAAAGGAGAAAATTATGCACAGAAGTTTTCACAGAGCGATCAGCATCAGGTATTGGGAGCTACTAGAAAAACTGGTAACAGAAACAGTGCAGATAAATCGGGCAGTGTTCGGAGAACAAAACATGACCCAGATAAAGTGAGCTGCATCAAGAGTTCAAGGATAATCACTGATAACTGGAAGATAACCCATGCAGTATACAACTTGCAACATTTCAGAATCGGGACAATGAGACATGTATAGTGCGGGTGGTGTGCTCTGTCATCAGATGGTACAGATGGCTGCCCAACAATCAGTACCATGAGCATTCTTCAGGGTGCCTGCTACAGTCAACAGAAAGAGGTACAACATGCTTGTTCATCTGTGGGAAGCAGTGTGCATGTACCATCCCAAAATGTGGGCAGGCAACGACTGGGTACTCTTGCATGACAGTGCTCTGGCACATCAGTCACCGTTTGAGCAACAGCTTCTTGCTAAACATGATAAACTGTGGATTCAAGATTTTTACATCAGTGGTTATGAAGAGGTCTATCCTCTGCAATATACTGCCATGTAGTCTGGTGGAAGTCAACCAATATTTCTTGTGTGGCTTATACTCCAACCATGAAGATGGGGGAAATATGTTCCTCTGAAATGCCAGTTGACTTTCATCTGACTGCATGGTATTATATTGCAGAAGACAGAATTTTTAATGGTAAGCAGTGCTTCACCACTCACTGTACTCTCTCACTGCATTATATTTACCTCTTTTAGAAGATGGAGGACCATCTGAAGGGTTACCATTTCGTGTATGGACTGAAGGTTTAAGTGGCTTCAAAGACTGTGTCACAGGAGGTTGCTTGTGATGACTTCAGGGAGTTTCAAACACAGACACCTGTATAAACTCTGGAATATTTCTGTACTTGATGATGACTGTATCTAAGGTCTTCTTAGTGGTGGCATATTCAAAATGTTTCCTTTCCCAGAACTTTTTGAAGCTACCATATATAACCGATTACTAATCATGGAACAAGTTTTCCAGTTTAATGAATGATGTGAAATCCTTACCACCATTCAATTGCATTCTCCAAGGATGTAAAATGTGTTGGTCGTCCACGAAGGAAACTTTGCATGCTTGCCAGTGCATCTAGGGCTGTTCCCTCCACAACATCAATCACAGCAAGACCAATCAATGAAGGGATAAGGTTAGCACTGGCAGTGTGCACGGCAATTGCTCCACCCATACTGTGCCCAATCAGTATTACAGGAGGTGGGTCTGAGTCATAGAGGGTCCTTACAATATCTCCAACATCCCTACACAAGAATAGGTATGTTCATGAAGCAATCTTAAATTCACTATAAATAATATTTATTTTATTCCTGTCAACACAACACTGTTTCCAGCAGGCAGAGTTTGCTGTCTAGGATCTTGTGCTGACACGCATAAAATGTCCTAGACAGCAAACTCTACACGATGGAAATAATGCTGTGTTGACAGGAATAAAATAAATATTATCTATAATGATTTACACAACATGATGTAACAAAATACGAATCATAAATTCAATAATGACACTCTTATTGTCATGCCTAGTATTTCAGAATACGCAACTGCCACAAGACTGCCTGATAGAATAACACAAGAAAGAGCCTTATATTCATAAGAAAAGAAGAAAGGTTTGAATATCAGAATTCTACTTGTCTATACTACCACATAATACAAAGGAAAAGTTGTCCCTGTATTTAAGTACCATGACATGAATATATGAGATGTAAATAAAGCCTCAAACCTCAGCACCGTATGAAAGTGAGTGGTTAGCTTCATGCTCCAACCACTTCATCCAAGGGGTTACAACCCCTTGACCTTTCTGAACAGAAGGGTTTGTGAGCCATATATAAAGTTTCCATACAAGAATTGCAGATTTGAATATTTACCAAATGTAACAGGGGTATGTGGTAGTGTAGTTGGTTGAGGCACTATGCTACAAGCAGGAAGGTTGCAGGTTCAAGTCCCAATGAGGTAACTGGATTCTTCAATTTGCCTAGTCCTTCCAGCTGTGCTATGGCCCTGGGGTCAGCTCAGCTTCCAACAGAAGTGAGTCCCAGGAATCTTCCTGTTGGGGGGGGGGGTAAAGGGTGGCTGGCATGTAAGGCTGACAACCTCACTGCCATCAGTGAGCTGACTGTCTAAAAAATGCAGGAGCCTCATCATCTCTCAACCCTATGGGCCTCCTTGGCCTGTTACAGGGATAGCTTTGCCTTTACCTTTTTACTCCCCACAAAATGTAACAAGATATAGCAGTAGAATAAATTGTAATTTCAGACTATGTGGTGAGCTTCATGCTCTTGACACTTTGCCCTGGCTGCTCACGGGATAGGAGTATATTAAATGCAGACAGACTTGGCTACACTCTTCACAATACCAGTTATGAACAAGCAGAGCGCACAGAAGTACAGTATTCACACAATGATACCTTGCCATGGTCTCTGCAGACAAATCCTCTTCATTTGTCGTTATAGTGTCTCCATGACCTCGTAAGTCAATAGCCAGTACTTGACAACCTACCATACTTGTCACAGAGGACTGAAATGAAAGTTTTAGTTATCAGTTTGATGCAATGCCAGAATCAACTAGGAAGAGATGCAAACCCATTCTACACTTGAAAATAAAACACTTAGGTTTGTAACCATGTGGCATATTTTAATAGCTGATCTGCAAATGGATAATTGCCATGTGTTTTGCAGTCGAGAAATATGCCATCTGACTGTAGGAGGAATACAAATTATAAGAACAGTTTACAGAAATAGTTGCACCTATGACATAACAATGACATGATATTAAAAAATATAAAAATTCAACTGAAATTTGCATAAATTTCACACTTACTACACTTTCTGCATATTAATAACTTACAGAGAAGAGGGCCCATGTCAGCGCTGAGAAGCCACCGCCATGAAGCAGCACCAACAGTGGACCACTATCACCCAAACAATACACTCTAAACTGGTTTCCATCTACAGCAACATCACGTCGCTCACTAAAATAACGACTCCATTGAACTGGTGTATAGTCTCTCTTTTTGCCAAAGCCACTACGCCGAGCACCCCTGTAAGTGACAAAGCTTTTATTCCACACACATAAAATGTCTTTCCACCTTTTGAGATTCATTACTCTCGTTAATATATATGTTCAGCTGTGTGTAAACAGACTAATTCTGCTTACACAGAAACTCTAAAATTGGAACTATCTGGCTGCTGTTCTACATTTGACATTTTAGAACGTTATGGGCATTACGTATCCAGAGTCACTATCAAGATATGTCACAATTTAGGAATACTAAAAATCACTATCCACAAACCTAGATCCTAATGAAGCAACCGGCACAACTGGCGGCAATTTTGCTTTCAGAATCGTCTTTTGCAATGTTGACATTATGATGAACTGCAGACACCAAAATATCAAAATTCCACAGCCTTTCCAATACCACCATTCGTTCCTTCTTCTGACTGTACAATTGTACCCCAAATCAGTCTCACACGATTATTTTCGCACATCCGTGACTTCCAGTTCCAGTACGGTCTTCTGTCAGGTGCAATCGGGCGCAAATGTTTAGTAATCTGTGGCAAATACGAAATGAATGTTATGGCAGCAAACTAACGTTGTGGTGCTTTGGAGTTCTGCCTTTTGCTAGTAGTAACATTAGGAAACGAGATAGAAATAGAACAACAAAAAATAAAAACATCATCAACTTCACCACTAAGGAAACACCTACCGATAAGCATAAGATTCAAATATGGGGGCAAAGAATAGCAAACGAAAACAGAAACAAGCATCCTGAAAAAAAAAAATATGAAGAATCCAAAAATACATATTGGGAAAACAAGAGGACATCATGCAAATAATAGAACAAAACGAAATCGACGATGCCGCACGGAAGATGACTGAAATACTGCAGAATGCTGCCCCAACAGCCAAAGAGAGGAAGGCCAAAATATGGTTCAATGCAGAATGTTACAATATGAGAAAAGCAACAATAAAGGCACTACACAGGGCAAGACAAACTCAGAATAGCAACGAACTAAAAGAATATGCAGAAAAAAGAAAAAGATACAAAGCTCTGATAAAAAGCAAGAAAACTGAACACATCGAAAATGAAAGGAAAATGATAGCTGAAGAAGCCGAGAAAGACCCGTTCGTGGCAACCAAAACAACAAAGAAACAAATGCCACAAGAAGTAAATATAAAGATATGGGAACAGCATTTCACCAAGATACTCAGCCAAAATACACCCACCAGCGGCCCCCGAACGGACGACTTCAGGGCATGTCAACCAATCTCACATGCAGAAGTATTAAAAGCTATAAAAAGAACACAAAACAAGAAAGCTGCAGGACCAGATGGAATATATTATGAACATATAAAAGAAGCAAAGGGCATTATATCAAAACCACTAACGGGACTATACAACAGATGCCTCGAAACTGGATCCATACCACAAATTTGGAGAAAATTCCTGATGAAAGTACTATACAAGGGAAAAGGAGACCCAGAAGACCCGAACAACTACCGATGGGTAGCGTTAGAAAACACAATGTTCAAGATACTGACCAAAATCCTAACTGACCGTTTAACAACAACAGTAGACTCACTTATCCCGGAAAATCAATTTGGGTTTCGGCCACAAAGATCAACGATACAAGCCATCACAGCACTACTAGAAGCAATTGAAGAAGCACTAAGACATCCACGACGAAAATACCATGTAGTGTTCATAGATTATAGCAAGGCATTCGACCTACTCGACAGGAGTATAATCACAACAAAACTGAGAGAAATAGTAGGAGAAGAAAACACAACAAGACTAATAGGAGACATCCTCAAAAACAATAAAATCGTAATAAAAGACACGGTGTCACAATCCGAAGAAACAACCCAAACAAATGGCGTACTTCAAGGGGACCCCCTCAGCCCATTACTATTCAATATTACAACAGCAGACTTGGCCAAAACAATGGAAAAACACACAGGGGTACAATTAATTATGTAAGCGGACAATATGACAATTGGAGGAAAAAATATTGAGGAGCTACAGGAAGCCTCCCGTACACTGGAGAACTGGGCAAAACAAAACAAACTACAAATAAATAAATAAAAACAAAACTCAACTAATGGCTTTCAGAAAAGGAGGAAAAAAAGGAAAAAATGACGAAATAAAATTTAATGGAGAACACATAAAATCAGCAAAACAATATAAATATCTCGGCTTAACACTGCAGTCTACATCTACAACATTCACGACACACATAACAGAAAAATGCACAGCAGCCATCAAAGCTATATTCACCATTCGAAACCTGCAACTATTATCGCTAGAAACAGCAATGAAAATATTCCATGCAAAAATTTGTCCCATACTACTATATGGCGTAGAGATAACCTGGGAAAAACTATCCAAACAAAACCTGTGGAAAATAGAACAAGTGAAGGCAAGATAACTTAAACTAGCGCTAGGGCTTCCTAAGAACACACAATCCAGATAAACATACGAACTCTGCAAGGAAAATTTCCTATTAGAAGAACTCAGATATCAACTGCGAAGCACAAAAAACTTAGAGGAAGTTATCAAAGAAAGAAAACAAAAAAGAGAGGAAATATGGGAAGAGTTCTACAGCACTGATGCAATGACTGACAGAACCTGGACAGGACCCAACAGAAAATTACGACACACAATTACTAGGTTGGCAACACACAGATACCACCACAAGATATGCAAGAACGAACGTTTCCACGAAGCAGACGACACGTGTGTGTGTGTAAACACTGTGATAAAAAGTGCAGTTGATACCACATTACCATATGCAAAAACTTAACCACATCAATAACTGACTACAGTCGCGAATAAAAACAATTACTCTATGCAAATTGTGTGCATTCCCTTTATTATTAAAAATCTGCATCGGTAACAGAGGTAGCAGAATCGGTAAGATTGTTAAACTATTCAGTGTTTCTGGTCGTAAGTCTTATGGGGCTTGACGCCAAGACGAACTGAATGGTGATAAACTGCCAGTCATAAAGTAACTTTGACTTTGAGTTAGTTCACTTGAGACACTGGTCCGCGATTTGCACACAGCTTTAAACCCCTGTTAGAATGCTATTACATAATAAAATTATGCAGGCGACAAGCAGAAGTCATACAGAATCATGAGAATGAACATGTTCATCGTTTAGGATAAGGCGAAGCCAGGCATAGAAAATAGAAGAGGCTTAAACTGGCGGTGGTCAAGCTTGCGACCGTTAAAGTGACTACCATTATATCATAAGATATGTAAGACAGGCATGATCTGCTTAGCCAAGTCTGTACTGACAGAGGACTTCTGTATAGTGCAAAAGGAAAAATTTCCTATGACATGCTATACGTGTGATACGTACACTTGACGAAAGGCATAACATATTCATAAGTGACAAACCGATCTCGTCAGGGAGGATGTTACTTAATGTTACTTAAGGACTGTTACCGCAAGGATTCAATTGAAAAAGAAATCTCTGGTAGTGGGTCTAAAGATGCTTGACACCAAGACTAACTGATTGGCGGCAAACCGCCAGTCGTAAAGTAACTTTGACTTTGACTTTCTGTCAGTTGAGAGTGCAGTTCTGTATGGGAGGCTGTGAAGAAAGGGGTCAGTTGCAAGAGTGTGGCTGTGAAGAGAAGACTTTATGTGTGACATTTGTATTGTGTAATTCAGTGAGACTGTTATAGTTCCTGTGTTAAAATCCGTTACCAGGAAATGGCCAGTGGGGACTGTAGTAGATTGAGGACACTTGTCTGTATGTGTCAGTGACGTGTTGTGAGTGTATAAGTGGTCATTAAATCTATTTACCAGTCCAAACCCCATCTATAAGAAAGAGACCACTGGGAAGACCAAGGCATAGGTGGGTGGACAATATTAAAATGGATCTTAGAGAGATAGGATGGGATTGTATGGATTGGATTGACCTGGCTCAGGATAGGGACCAGTGGAGGGCTCTTGTGAACATGGTAATGAACCTTCGGGTTCCATAAAATGCTGGGAAATTCTTGAGTAGCTGCAGAATTGGCGGCTCCTCCAGAAGGGCTCAGCCCCATGAAAGTAAGTAAGTAAGTAAACCCCGTCTATAGTCAGCACTAAATCGTGATAATTCTTAATGGTATGCATTGTGTTGTGTTATAAACAAGGTACATAAAATGTACAAAAAGTATGCAGTCTACACAAAAATATTCCCTTTTTTTTGTTGTGTAGACTGCATACTCCTGATAATTCGTTAATGTCACCGAAAAACTATTTTCTTTGCAACTTTCAAGTGTAAGATGTGAACAAAGTCATGAGGTTGAATGCAAGTATTTCTGATGTGAACAGAATTTCGTTTCAAGTTTACCCGCCTTCAGTGTTCCTAAACATAGGTATTTTATGTATGTTATAGGTCACAATTTCTATTGCATTTCAGTACGGAGTTGTTGGATTGACGTAAATGAAACTTTCATACTTTACAAGCACTGGTGAGAAACTTTATCCTGATGGATATGAGTGAAGTGAAATTAAACTCAATTAAAAAGAAACACACATCCAATGGAGTGAGAACCTCAGCAGAACAAGAGATCAGGGTTGTAAAATAGTTTATTGCTTCCATGATATGTATACNCCGTTTTGTAGTGCACTCAATATTACCTGTTACTTCACGACATGTTTCGGCAACATAGTGCCATCATCAGGTGCCCTAATTACGCTAATCTATTTCATTGTGTGAAAATTTATTATAGTTGACAAATACGCACTTTTTAAATAATTATAAAAAGATTTATAAAGGCAAGCAATGAAATAGATTAGCGAAATTAGGGCACCTGATGATGGCACTATGTTGCCGAAACATGTCGTGAAGTAACAGGTAATATTGAGTGCACTACAAAACGGCCACCGTATACATATCATGGAAGAAATTCAGTGCAACAGGACGCTAAAATACAACATTTAGTTTATTGCTGTTCGTGTGAGTTACTGCTTACATATCATGGACGAAGATCAGTGCAACAGGACGCTAAAATACAACATACTGCAAGTGGGTTCGGAGTTATGGGCAGTACCCAGAGGTTGGTGCTTTGATAGCATACCTTCTTACCGACCGGGCTCTCGACAGTGTAGATGGCACATTAGTATCGTTAGACTTGCATTTGAATATAGATGGCAGCATGAATGCTAAGTTTCCTGGCAATTGAGTTGCTAGCGGTTGCTAGGGTCTAATACTCAATGCGTAGTGGGGGCGTGAAAAAGTGAAAAAGTGGTTTCGTATTGTGGTAAAGGTGGGTGACGTTATGTTGTTTTAGGCATAAAAAGGTCGTGCGTTTGTTTGCAGTTTATATTTTTGTTTTGTGTTTAGTTGTTTCCTGCAGTGAAAAGTCTGCTGTCGTTTTTGTTGTTTTTCTGGTAGAACTATGTTCGAGGCCTTTCTCTTTTATTTTGGACTTCTCCCCACAGTGAAAGACTGAGGAAATGCGAAGTTTCAACAAAGAATGTTTGGTACTTTTAAAATATTAGAATCTATGCTACTGGAAATTCTCATAAATTTATTTAATGTTTTAACATGTTCTTGTGTTCAGTCTTGAATTGTCAGATTGTATGTTTATACTCGTATATTTGAGACCAAAACAGCCCCGTGATCATTTTAATTTATAAGTGACAGCGTACATTAATTAGAGAATATTCCCACATATTAGTGACTAAACATGGGCTTTGGATTGATACTTAGTTTGCTGAACACTTGTAACTACAAGTAACTGCAACAGGCTCACTGGTTTACACACTTTAAAAGACCACCATAACTGCGGCACACACGAAGTCTTTTATTCCTTCACTACTCGTTGCTTGGAAATGGCTCCTATCAATGAATATTCCTTTGCTTCTGTACTCATGGCTTTGCTGGATGGTGAATGACACACAGTTAACCAACTTTTATTACCACCTGTCCATGACTGACAAAACCAATGCAGCATTGCCTATCAGTGGCCCAACAGTTCCTGTGTTGTTGCACATGCATTCATTGCTTTGGAGTGGTGTTTACTGTGCTGTCACCTAGCAAAGGCTATGTCTTACAGCTCCACTGTTCTGGCCCTGAGCCCTCATGTCACAGTATATTTTATTGGTGTCTGGATTAGGTAGTTTGTTTCATAGGTTATGTAGCTATGCTGTGTCAGCTTCAGATACACCAAATAAGATGAAAGGATCAGTGTACAGGTTGAACTGAACATGACTGCAAGAAATGGCTATGCCATGTTTCAAGTACTATCCCTGTATTGATCTTGGAAGGACTGAATAAAATGAGCAGTCTCAGGTTAGCCATTACTCTGCTCAAGGCTCAAATTATATACAGGTATTCCAAATTCTAATTAGGCATCAATGAAGGTAAAACTTTGGCTGTCTGCTTCTCTCATAGACTTAGACCATCTGAAGTTCATCTCATGCTGAATGGGCGGAACATCCCCTTCGTCAGTAATGTAAAATACCTCAGTGTAGTTTTCAAGAAGAGGATTACATGCAGATTGCATATAGAAATGATTGAAACCAAGGCATTCAGAACATTTATTAGAGTCTATTCCTTATTCAGAATCAAGGGGTTAAGTGCCCACATTGAACTAACACCCAATAGAGCACTAATTAGATCAGTAATGACTTACGCTTGCCTGCCTTGGAATTTGCTGCAGATACCCACATCTTGAAATTGCAGCACTTGCAAAGCAAGGGTTTCTGCACCATTTGTAAATTTCCAAGTGCACACCAGTCTGCAAGTGGCACATGGGTTTTCAAGTCCCATATATTTATGATTACATAAAATTGTGCAGGCAACAAGCAGAGGTCATACAAAATGATGAATATACAAATTTTCATGACATCAGTAAAGGTGAATCCTGACACAGAAAATATAAGGGACTTAAGCTTGGTGGCAATTAAGTGCATGGCTGTTCAAGTGACTGGGCAGCTGTTGTAATGAGCTACATGAGTTAGGGCAGTGTCTGCTATGCCATGCCATGCCTTGTATGTATTGTACATAGAGTTACATGTAAAATTGTAAATATTAGGTGTACACAAGGAACCAGACTCTTTGACAGCTGACTATGTTGAATGCCAACATGTAAAATTGTAAATATAGATAACATTTACTACTGATGTTGACTGCAGTAAATGTGACTGCACTGGCGAGGGCCAGCAGCAGTTGTAAATGACAGACCCTTCCTCTCGTTGGAGAGGGTGCCCCTCATGAACAAACCCCCAACTGCATGACAGTAACAGAAATCTGGCCTTGGGCCCCAGGTGCAACTTGACACCCAGACAAACAGACTGACTGTTGATTGTAACATAACTTTGACTTGACTAGTTAGGCACAAAAGCTGAGCCATCTTTGGTTATTGAAATACGTTAACATAACCATGGATATTTTGAGCCGTGTACAATTAATATTGCTTGTTGATGCTACAAAATGTTTGGATCTTTATGACTTCAGTGCTCAGGTGAAGCTAATGATTCATTATTTCTTGCCTTTTTTCAATATTGGAATGAAATTTGTTGTCAGGAGAGCTATCAGTACCTTACATTTTGCAGATAATGACAGTAAATCTTTGCAAAATGGTGAACCATTTGGATAATTTAAATCAGAGTGGTTTCTGTTAAATTAATCCCATATTCCTCGGAAAGTATGGGGGTTATGTAGGTTAGACTAGTTTGTGTTAGGTCTATTGACTGTAAATAATCCTCAAACTCTCTGAGAGGCATGTGTGGTCACCATGTTTTGAAGCTGTTCCATAAAATGATTGTAAATTTAGAATTTTTACACTATAATATAAATTAAAAAATTTGCACTCAATTAACTGATTGGGGAGAAAAAACATTTGGAACCAGGGATAGTAATTATTAGATTGATTATGACCTTTTCCTAGCTTGAAGTGTTAAGAATCGGAAGGTTTGCTGTCTGTGAATAAGATACATCAGTAGTCCAACACTGTATTGTTATTCCTTAATTGTATCAGTATATTTCAAATAAATTACAAAAAAAGTGCTGTCCTCTTTATAGATATGAAAATTCCTGTTCGACCTGCACCACTTCCACCCAACAGTAACCGGAATATGAGCCTCAATTACAGCACTAGTACCTTGGACAGTTGGGATGATGGGTATGTATCAAGTTCTTATTTTGTTTTTGATCTGAGGTTCTCTTAGTGGTGGCTATGAAGAGTTTATCTTCTGGGTTATAATGCCGTGTAACCCGGTGAAAGTCGGGCAACATGTCAGTGGGTCTACTTGCTGCCTTCCTCATAATGGTTTCTTGCTTGGCTTACTCTTTGGCCTTTAAGATGGAGACGACACGTTCCTCCAAAATGTCAGTTAATTTTCAGTGGACTGCGTGGTGTTATATGCCAGAGGATAGAACTCTTCATGGTACCCTGATAGTAGATGCAGCAGTTTCCTCCGAAAGAGTTTGTGACTTTTTACCTGACTACATGCAGTCACATCCCAGAAGACTGAAGCTAAGAGATGTAGGTGCATATATGTAGAAAATGTAATTCATAGCATGCTGACCATAGTAACAGCAGGTGCACAGATTGTGTGCCCATTGTGTGTACGTTAGTATGTTGTGGTTTGTTGATGCACAAGGAAGTTTGAAAGGAACAGGATCTTCCTGGAGCAGTTTTCGATTTTTCGTTTTATTATTATTATTATTATTATTATTATTATTATTATTATTATTTTTCCCTGTGATGAACTTGTCAGAATTGTAAGTAAATTAAAAGTAAAGGTATCCCTGTAACAGGCAGTGAAGGCCCATAGGGTTGTGAGATGTTGAGGTTCCCACATTTTCTAGACAATCAGCTCACAGATGGGGGCAAGGTTGTCAGCCTTATGCTCCGGCTGCCCTTTACCCCAAGAACATTCCAAGAATATTCTTGATACTCATTTCTGTTAGAGGCTGTGTCAACCCCAGGGCCATAATGCAGCTGAAAGGATTAAGTAAATTGAAAAAAATCCACCTAATTGGGACTCGAACCTGCGAGCTTCCAGCTTGTAGCATAGTGCCTCAACCAACTATGCTACCGCATGCCCCCCTTGTCAGAATTGTTTGGAAACAAAGTGCTATGAGAAATATTTGCACTGGAGAGGGCTCATATTAAGAAGATAGAGAAATTTACATGATCGGAAGCTTCACAGTTGGAACTTGTACTCTTTATCACCGTGATTAAATTAAGCAGTTGACATAGGCTGAAACACATAGCACAGATGGGCAAACAAGAAATTAATGCAGAATGTTAGAAAATTTGATGGAAACGTCAAGAGTGGCTACATTGTGGCATTGTAATGAAAGTGCATGCTGAGTCAGTGAGAGCGGGGAGTTTCATGAATAGCTCTCGGATTTTATAAAGAAGACCTTGAACTGAAGTCATTATTTAGTTAATTCTTGACTGAATGTGTGACTGTTATTTTCTCAACAAGTACTATGATCCATGGAGTTTGGGTAAGTTATTAGTATTGAATGTTAAACTTGTTCATAATCTTTAAAATTCGCTCTCATACAGCAATGATCCATTCTCCAACCTGACATTCTCAAATAGGCCTTCATCACTACATTTGAGTCGACTGCCTGGGGCGAAAAAGAAGCCACCTCCACGTCCACCACCACCCAAGTTTGCTCAAAATAACCAACGAAAACAGGTTAGATATTAAGAGGTAGCTCTTTATTGAATTTATTGGTGTACAGATTTATTTATTTGTGTATTTATGGTTTATTTAATTGTGCTGTCACTAGGTCAGATTGTATAACATTGAATGATACAGTGATTAGTGAGTAATGAATTGGAAAGGATCTGAAAGGAAACACTGTAAGTATCTATCCTGGCATTTACTTGGCTAGACTGGGAAAAACCATGGAGAACCTCAGGTGGCTAGTCTCAGTGAAACCGCAATTTTATGTGTCCTCTTCTGATGTTGAATTTTACTGATCTAAATTGAGTAATCTCTGTTAAATTTTCAGTGTTAAAAGAGGTCCCTCAGTTTGCCTTTCAGATCACTGCGCCTGAAAGAAACCTGGGGTTTCACTGTAGTCTCATATTATGAGAGAAGAATGTGAGTGACTGCAGGACTAAATAAAGCCCTGAAGAAAATATTTGAATGTAGAGTGAGCAGAACATGGGATGGTGGGGCAGCGAAATTGAGGAGATGAAGGAACTGGTATGTGTCTCTTGAGAGGAGAGATAAGGGAATGTAGACCTAGGAGTTAGGAGATGGTAGGATGTTATTAAAGCAGACCTTTAGGTTCATAGGGTTTAAAAGCATGTGGTAGACTTTTTACTCGCACAGGACTGTGGGCCAGTGAGTGTTGAGTCTTCAAATACCAAATATACCAAATGGTATATTATTGCTAGCCTTTGAACAGTGGTCCACCTGAAAGAGTGGTAGCTTAACTGAAATGTGATGTTTCAGGTTAACCCACAATCCTGGAAGTTGCAATCACAATATAAAAGTGGTAAAGTTTTGGAGTCTTATCCGGTTTGTAATTTTGCAGAAATAGTGTCATAAACAAAATGATAGGAAAATTAAACATCATACGAAACTTGAGACTAAATAATTTAACAAATTAAAATAAATATACAGAAGTATATATTATGATGCAAATTAAATCTTAAAAAGCATCTGTAGTCATGGCAAAGTTTTGAGCTGTTATCATTTCGTAACCACAGATGCTAGAAACATTGAATCAAACAGCAGTCATAGGAGTAACTGTCAGTTTCACCTCTCTGCCAAGTGAAGTTCAATGTATACATGTAACTGATACTGAATTCTTACCACACACGAGCTAAAACATACAGAATGACTGGAGTAGTGGCTAGATATGCACAGAACAACAAATGGTAGTCACATTAAACTGCACTGAGCTCAGAAGCGAAACTTCAGTATCATCTAGAATGTGACAGCATGTAGCTAGTTAGAAGTTCACTTGATTGTACATTATAGTCCTGAGTGTGAGAACTTCCTTCAGTATAGTTTCCTTTGTGGTTGCCATTTCATTCATGTCTCTAGCATGTGATGTTGCGATACGGTAACACTGCAAACCTCCATCACTTTATGGACACACTGTGTGTATGTAATATAATCCTTCACTTCAAAATATGAGATGAGTGCTTCTTTTTATATTTTCTCCTTTCATGGCTCAATATTTTCTAAAGGTGGTTGCCTGAACTATAGATGGAGTAGGTATAAGTGCATGAAATGTGAATGTGCTTCGTTTGAATACTTTCAGGTACATACTCGACCTGCCCCCCTTCTGTCTGGGCTATTTACACGAAATGCATCATCACGCACAACTCATTCTCAGTGTAGCATTTTGACACAACAGAAGAGTCTGCAGAAGGAGAGTCAAGCAACTGTAGCAACTGCACCACTGATTGATTTCCACTCACCTTCCTGCTCCCCAACTCCAACAACGCGTTCTAGCAGTGATGGACTCAGTGTGAACAGCTTTGGAAGTGACGGCTCTGTGTCAAATGGTGGGCAGACTCCATATGGAGGAAGCTCCTCGCAGTTTGAAAGTGGATTTGAGGATGATTTTGATTTTTTTGGAGGGCTGTCCAGCTCATCTAGCTTCGGTACTGCAGTAGATGAGCAAAAAGATCCATGGAGCCTAGTCAAGCCACAAGATCCATTTTCACCACCAAGGCAACAGAATGTTTCTGTGGCTAGTGCATCAGTTCAACAAGTTGTTGGAAGCTCTGCATTTTACAGACAGAGCAGCGATAGCTTGTCAGGTGCAGTGAGACCCTCCACTATTACATCCCTGCCAACAATAATTCGAGCAAGACCGGGAAGACATCCTACATTACCGAAGTTGAGTGAGGCATCCGGTGACCAGTCATTGATTCCATTTGAAGCCAGAAGTAAAGACCCTTCTAATTTAGTGCCTAATGGAGATTCTGATGATGACATAGGTAACTGGTCACCACCAATGCCATCCATTCCACCGCCACCTCCGCCACCTGAAGCGCTGCAGGAGTTGGAATTTGATGGTCCATCACCAGAACTGCCACCACGGCCAGTCCAGTTGCAGGTGATGATGTAATTTCTTTAATTTGAACAGAATTACTTCCTCTATGAATGTAACCTCATTCCCTTTTTTTATTTTTGCAGGTAGAAAGATTTCAGAAGCCATATGGAATTGCCCTGTATGATTATCCTGCCACACATCCTGACGATCTCTCATTTGAGGTACTGTACATGATGAATTGCTGAAATCCTTGATTTATTAAGTGAATTCCCTTAGAAATGAATTGTGCCAGGGTTTGACATCTTATTCAGGGACTTTGAGAAGAGGATATTCAAAACTCACTTTGTATCTTGTTTTCCAGCCCCCTATACACTCGTATTATGAAGATAATCAGCAAGCAGAGACCTTTTTTTTTTTGTCGTGGTAAAGCAGTATACCTCATTCTTTGTATTTATTGTATGATACCTGCCACCATTGTGCACATTGACGAATTCTGTAGTTCAGGCATGCACCACTTGTGGCATTAGTAGGTCACATCAAAGAGCAGACAGCAGTTGTATGATTTTTATGGGTAAAATTTTAAAGCTGCAAAATGTCACAGATGTTAGCAGTATGCATGCCAAAGTAGTTGAGGAACGCAGTAAATCAAATTGTTTGGAGATTGCTACACAGTATCTGGTATAGTATTAAAATGAAGGCGATTCATTTCTAAGCCATAGAATCTGAAGATGAAATCAGGGAGCCAGGGTACTACCCTCAGTTAGGCCTCATACACTGGCTTCCACATCCTTTCCAGTTTATTCATCATCATCATCCAGTCATTTGATGCTCTATAGTTTGTGTTACTGAAGGCGTCATTGAGTAAGTCATGCACATTTCAAGGAGGGTGAGATAGGCAGGGCATGTAGCATGCATGGGAACGATTAGAGGTGCGTACAGAGTTTTGGTTAGGAAACCTGAAGGTGGGAGCTCTTTTGGAAACTTTGCCATAGATGGGAGAATAATAGTAAAATGGATATCAAAGAAATGGGGTTGGATGTTGTGAACTGAATTCAATTTATGCAGGTTACAGGCCCTTGTGAATGTGATAAGGAACTTTCCAGTTCTGTAGAAGGTGGGTAATTTCTTGACTAGCTAACTGACAGTTTCTTGAGGGCCCTACTACATGGATAGACTTGAAAGGATTCTGACGATGGTGTATACTGTACTTCTTTTGTCTTTTACATACCAGATGATGGGTGAAGTCCAAAATAAGCCAAAAGAAGTACTACTACATGGAGTTAGTTAATTTGTTGGTTAGTTTAATGACCTTTGACTTACATTTCTGTGTTTGCTGTTCCATCATGCAGAAATGTTCACTTTTTAAAAACCTTATTTCAGGCCAATGACACCATCTTCATTCTTCGCCAGATAAATTCTGATTGGTTATATGGTCAAGTTGGTCAGAACCAGGGAATGTTTCCAACCAGCTTTATTAAAGTAATAGTTCCCCTGAATGACACCAGAGGCAGTGCCAATCAACAAAGCCAGCAAACTGTGAGAGCCTTGTACTCATTTGCTGCTGAAACATGGGAAGATTTAGAATTACAGGTGAGTGTTGCATTGTAGTAGTAGTGGTGGTGGTGGTGGTGGCGGCGGCGGCGGCGGCAAACCCCCGGATATGGCTCCTTTTTGGAATACTGGACTTTAATTCTGAACTGAAGAAAATCTTAAATGAAAATGGAGGGAGGTTAGTTAGCAAAGCTGCCACCAGTATCTTACACTGTAGAGCACTGGAACATAGGATGTTAATTGGAAGGGATTTTGAAGGAAGCAGTCATATCTTTATTGAGGTACTATCCTACTATTTGTCTGGAAGGTCTGAGGAAAACCACAAAAATCCTCAGTCAAGGTGAACAATGTCCCAGCAAGATTATGAAACAAGTACCTCTCAAATACAAGTCTAGAGCTTTGTATCTAGAGCAACCTGTTCGATGCCAAATGCATCATTTATAACTTTACTTGGTATAAGCCGACTGGTTTCTGTATCTTAGTTTTGCCACGGAAGGCAAGGAGTTTTTCATTTCCGTTACATAATGTTCCAGCACTTCATTGTGGCCACTGTGCACTTGGTCTGAAGCAGGAGATCTTGCATAAGTATAGGAAGTTTCTGGCTTCAGCGTGTGCTCTAATCTATATTGTTCAATTTTGCAGGAAGGGGCATCTGTCTATGTTATAAGCAGAATAAATGATGACTGGTTATATGGAGAGAGTAATGGAAAGTATGGACAGTTCCCAGCTTCATTTGTGGATCACATTCCGTCCATCTTACCTCAACATACCAACTAATTAGGAGATTTTCTGTACAACAAAGACAAATGGAACAGTGGTGCAAGTAGAACTGAATACTATTGTGTGAATATAAATTAAATTATTTTATTATTTAGAATGTTCTATATACTAAGCTATATTTTGTGATACTCATTTTTCTTCATATGCAGTTTGACTTCCTCATATTGAGAATTGTGATATCAGGTATTAAAACACTATTACTGATGCTAAATGAAGGATTATTCACCTGCTGATTTGGCAGTGTTTCTTCAGGAGATACGAAAATAATTTTGAATTGTAGAACATTTTATTGAGGTACCTTGCCTAACATTTTATGCCAGATATTCTGACATAAATACTAGCTGTATACCGTGCACATGGGCCTTTTTTTTTGTTGTTGCTTAATTCAGTACGACACAGCTTTAAAGTTAGTGTAGCGCTTATTTTTATGATAGACTTTTACTTGTATTAGTGTAGTGCTGTTTATTTTTGCTTCAAGCCTCTAATGACAAAATCTGATGAAAGAAAACAGTTCATCTTGTAGTAATTATCTCAGAAATGCAATGCTGCATATCAGTTTAGCTGTCAAGCAGTTCACTTTCAGTACTGAATAATGTGGAATGCCATCACTAAGAAAGGTCAGTATTCTGAAATTAAATATCAGGGTGGAAGCCCACATTCTTGCAGTATTATGTGATTATTTTCAGCATTCTTACAACAGTAAATAGTGATATATGAATAGAAAATGTTAATTGACATTGTATATACATTTTCAAGTGTTTTGTTTAATTGCTGACATTTCTTCACCATGCTACATCATCTTTAGTGTAATTTGAAAAGTTTACTTCTTTCGTCTCTACAACGATTCGGGGAACTCTGTTTCAGTGCCATTTAATTTCAAATGTTTTTGGTGTATTTTTTTTATTGCTAGTGGGGTGGGACTGAGTCCCTTGTACTGCTGCCACTTCTGAGCAATTGGTGGAATGAAGATTGGCAGGGGAAACCGAAGTACTTGGAGAAAACCTGCCCCAGCGCCACTTTGTCCACCACAAATCCCACTTGACCAGACCCGGGATCGAACCCGGGCCATCGCGGTGGGAAGCCAGCAACTAACTGCCTGAGCTATGGCGCAGCCCTGTTTGGTATATCTGTCTTGTCATTTCAGATGTTTTAAATTTTTACTGTATATAATACAGCATATGGTTAAAGTGGTGTTTTATGTGCAATATCATACTCTTTTTACTAGTGCATGTAGAATGCAGTTCTGCTGGAAATCATTATGAAATCCAAGGAAGGTGAAAAGAATTGGCCACATATAAGAACACATAAAATAATTGTCCCTTTTCCTGACTCAGAATTAGAAATGTGTTTCATAAGTGTTTGAATTTTCTGTGTTACATATTACCATACTGATATGGAAAATGTCATGTTAATAGAATGTGAAAGTTGCTGTAAAAATCCTGTTAAGCCATAAGGAACTGCACCTTATACAGTGTCTGCAGGTGCAAGCTGTGACTGGGTGTGTGTGGTTAATAATAGCAAACAAAAAATGTTATTTTTTGGAAGATGTGTGAGGAATTGGTTTCAGGTGTGAATGTGAATTTTTTGGATGTTGAGCATAAGTGAATATTTGGTACGAGAATCAGAGAAAGAGAGGAATAAGGGCCAGTGGTAGATTCAGAAACATATATTCATTGGCATTGTGGATTATGTCAGCTTCAGTATTGTTCTGGTCTGATGGAAATAGATAATATTTTTTGAGTATGATATCTCTCAAAATTGAATCCTTATATATATACTGTGATTGAAGTTTATGAACTGTCATCAGGTTGTGTGTGAAATATCTGATAGATGTTGATATAGACTTTCAGACCAGTGACTTCTTGACACAGCCCGCACTGGCCTCTTTCATGCTACCATGCTCACATAACACTAGATCATGAAGTGCAATACTTGTAAGCATTCATTTTGGAGCAGCCATAGTATATGTGAGGTTATGTTAGTTTAAAAAAGAAAATTGTTATTGTAAACAGTTGAGTTTATCACTGAGCTGATGATGAAGTTAATGGGGTATGGTGCACTACAATAAGCTTCTGGGACCTGAACAACACAGAATTTTCTCCAACCCATATACAGACAGGAGATTGAGTGGGCATTGCATTTCGTATGTTTGTTATATGTACATACATGCACAATTACCTGAATTATATGCAGTAGAATACTAGCATTTGGTCTAGAATTTGCAAAATTACATGCTGTAGTTATGGAAAGTATGAATGCAGGGACTGAAAGAGTGATACAGGAATTTCTGGGAGTGATGGCTGCCCTGTAAATGCAGCTCTTGATGGTATGGACCATTCTACCATGCAGTGATATACACATAGTCACAGCATCCTGGCAGGTAAAACTCACAGACACTTGAAATTTTGCCAGTATAGCTAAGGACGCTGATGGGGATCTGCCTTTAATCTCTCAGTAATCTGTCTGTATATAATGCTTGAGAATATTGTACATTGGGTTTGAAAAACAATTCATCCTGGTTGCATGGTAGGTCATGCATTCCACATAATCTGTTCTGTAAACGTTTGGCCTCTTCGTGTTATTTCACATGCATTGCTTACAAACGCTGAGAATATGCATCTGCCAGCAAGCAAACTAGAAAATTCTAGTTGGTGGTGATTACTGAGTTGTAAAGATTTTGGATGGTCATGTGAAAGATAATTTGATATGAAACAGAATGGAAGAGTTCTCCCCTTATTCTATATTGGAACTAACCTTGTGTGCCATGCCCTTTCGTTAGCTGTGAAGTTTGTATTAAATTACTTTACTTCTAACTCATAGCACATGTAAATCACTGAAAACATCGCATGTTCTTGGAGCTGCTTGTCTGATAACTGTTTAAACCAAATGCATAAGTTAAAACTCTTGAAGTTTCTTTCCAACAGGGTTTGTAAGATTATTTTTCTTCATTCAGTATATTTGTATATCTGTGTGTCGAGATGAAGCTTCATTTGGGAAGATATGAAAGTTCTCTTAAGCCTGCTACTCTCCTCCACAAGTGTAATGTGTAGCAGTCTGCCCACTATAGTGTATTATAATACTCGCATGTCATTTTATCATCCTCAGGCTTGTTATTTATGTGTGTGCTGTATAAGGCCACCCTTTGTGATAACAGAAGGTGATGGTTATTTAGTGAAGGAGTAAGGTTATGAACTCAAATTGTGTGCTTTGCATGTGCCTTTGTTTGGGGTTCAAAATTGTGTTTCCATTTGCTTTTAGATTAAAATTGTTACATATATGTTTATCTGAACTTCTCTGTCATACCTTTAGATAATTTAATTGCTTCACCACATGAGGAGAAAATAATGAAAAATTAAGAGAGCAGAAATATTGGCAGTGGTAATAGGCATGATACATCATGCATTTTAATAACTGAACTGTGTCGGTACCTTCATGTTTTCATGTTTCCTTTAACTACAAATTAAGCACATTTGTTCATCTCAGTACTTGAAATGGAAAAAGAAATGGTAAAAATGTGATTTTGAATGTTTTAGTCTCTAGGTTTTTAGATAGGAAATGGAGAGGTAAAAGATTTTAATGGGGGCAGGTGGTAGCGTAGTTAGTTGAGGGGCTATGTTACAAGCCAGAAGGTCGTGGGTTCAGGAGACGATGAGGTCACTGGATTTTTTCATTTGACCTAATCCTTCCAGCCACACTAGGCCATGGGGTTCACTCAGCCTCTAACAGAAATGAGTAGCAGGAATTAATTAAATAATTTTCCTGGAGAGTAAAGCGCGACCAGCATGTAAGGCTGACATCTTTACCGCCATCTCTGAGCCGATTGTCTGGATAATGTGGGACCCTCAACATCTCACAACCCTATGGGACTTTACAGCCTGTTACAAGGATAGCTTTACTTTACTAGCAGATTCTAATGTAACTTATATTCTATACCTTATTTTTAACAACTTTCCAGCTCAAATAATGATACCTCTCCCTGGTAATCATTCTTATATACTAACATCATCGTGGGTGGTCAGTTATTTCAGTATTTTGTTAGAAACAGATTTTTCTGATATCTCCTCCGTGCCCATCTTCAGGATCAACCCTGATGATGGAGATGTGGGAAATCTCTGAAACGTCAGTTTTTTCTCAACACTGACACAACACTGAGCAATATTAGAGTCACACATGCACTTGTAGTGTATTATACAATACATATTTCCCACAGCACTTCCTAGAGTTGGCGGGAATACCTCGACGATATTAAGACTGTATATGACACATAAAATATTGTAAAGTGTTGGGCCACTTCTGACACCAAATGTAACGTGTTTTGCTACTGAAGACACCGTTCGGATTGTTAAATGGTTTATTTAGCAATCTACAAATTGTAACTACAATTACTAGGGCCTGGTTCTTTATCCGCTATAAACACTTAAAATATGTGCTATAAAGCGGGAAAATATGCACCAAAAATAAAACAAAATGCAATTAAGAAACAGGTCACTTTATTCAGACTCGCCTATTTACATGTAGCATCACAATAGGAAACAAGAAGTCTTTCAGTGTTTTCTGGAGACAAACTACGTCTATTGTCCGTCAAAATGAGTTTATAGGCTGAGAATGATCTTTCTACATCAACTGACATGATTTTACAGTATTTATACAATGGCGCCGAATGCTCAGAACATTCATCTGGCAAAGATACCCTAATTCCACTCAAGTACTAATTGACTGAATCTTTTTAGTCCTGGGTTCGAATTCAACACCATTTCTAACTTGCATTTGATCTTCTCTCCAATTTTGCCTGGAGCAGAATTCAGTGAACAAGTTGCCTTCTGAACGAGCTCAAGTGCACCACAAGATTCTAAGCTCTCACTGGCTTTTGAAACTGTAGAAAAATGTGCATGGATAAAATTCACATCTTGATAAACGGTATCACTTCCAAACACCACTTTTGCTTCATGGACACATGCATACTCATCTTCAAGTTTTGTAACCACTTTTTTACTTGATTGAAATTCTCCTGATTAAATGAAACTGGATAACCATGTCCCCCACCTAGTTAGGACAGGTTCAGGTGGCGATGAGCCTGAGGTAGGCAATCTTTGTAGAACTGGACACAAGCTGGTGCTTTCAGAAACAGTTTTTTCCCACTTGCAATTAAATCGTTAACAGCTGGAAATTGTGCACATATTTTTTCTGCAATATGATGTAATCCATGCGCTAAACAGGTTACACGTATATGATTTGGATAAAATACTTGTAAGGCCTTTCCTGCTTTCAACATATAGGAAGCTGCATCTGTGAGTAATACAAGCACCTTACAACAATTATTCTCAATTTCAGATGGCCATAGTAGTCACAGAGAATCATTTACAAAGCTTGCTATTGTGCTATGGTTGGTTTTCTCTAGTAGTTTGCAAGGTTTGCCAGGTTCATCTGGATGTAGCTTACCAACTATGAAATTTGGTATGTATCGGCCACATAAATTGTTTGTCTCATCCACTGATATCCAGACACAGTTCCCTTCGATGTCTGATCGGATTGACTCCAGAGTACATTTGTACATCAAAGGAAGATATTTTTTTCTAAGAGTTGATTCATCTGGGATTTTTTTAATTACACAATATTTCTCCAGAAATGATCGCAGAACTGGATTTCTTAATTTATTTCATGGAATGTTACTGCATACTAAAGCCTTACAAAGATTGGCTGTAAATGTATTAACAGAGGACTTGTGTTTGACCTGTGTAAGAAGTAGTTGTTAGGTGTTTCTGTTCATCCCCTTGTTTGCCATAATATGTGCAGTCGTTCTTGAGTGGTGTTCAAGTTGAAATTTCTTTTCACGTTTTACTTCCTTTGCGCAAACTTGACAGTACACAAAGACACCATCTGTTGAATAATCACAATTACACGACTCCCACCGATTTTTTGAATATCTACTGC